CAGCACTGATTCAGTCAAAAATTGTATCTGAAAATAATGCAGTAGTAGAGCCCCCGGGAAGGAAACCCATTTGAAGGGAAGGAAGAATATTGTTTTTTCTAACCAGTCAAGCAGTTTATCTTTGACAAGTTTTTCGAGGATTTTCCCTGCAGGAGCAGTAATACTTATAGGCCTGAAATTCTGGAGCGCATTATTGCGTTCACACTTGGGTATTGCCGTTACTAAAGCTTCTTTCCAAAGCTTAGGCACTTCGCCGTTCATCACTGAAACATTGAATATTAGCGACAGGGGAAAAGCCAAAGCTTGGGCGCATTTGCGATAGATAATTTGAGGAATACCATCGTATGCGACAGTAGTAGAGGGACGCAATTTACTCAAAATTTTAAAAACCTTTGCAGGATCAATGCATATTTCATTACAACGAGCATTTATACGGACAATGGGAGGATGAGGTAACTCCATGCCTCTACTAGTTTCTGGATTTGCGGAAAAGGAAGCAAAAAAGTTGCCCAATGCTTCTGCTTTTTCCCTGTCATTCTTGAGTATGTTACCACTTTCATCTATCAGATCAGAAAGTTTCTGACTTCCTTTTACCTTACTCCTGAGATATGCATAGATTTCTTTGTAATTAGATCTGGAAAGGCGGCGTTCCGATTAGCTAGAAACTTTCTGACGTGATAGTTGATGTCTTGACAAACTTTTTTGTGGAGATGGTGATTTAGAGGATCATGCAAAGTCGAAAAAAGTCTAGTTTTCTGTTCAAGATTTTTAATATGAGCAGGATATGTCCTTTGTTGAGATGGTTCAAAACGGAAAGGTACATGCTGAGAAAAAATATAGTATAGCTTTCTACAAAAGCGATGGTAGAGGTCATCAACGTTTTCGTAGTTGTCAAAAGTCACATACCAGTCGATATTGTGCAGAGACCTACTTATTTCTTTGAAGTCAGCCCTACGAAAATCATGGAACGGAGTAAATATTTTTTCAGTGAAAATGAAGGTAATATCAAAAGAAAGTACATTGTGGTCAGAAGAGCCAAACGGGGGAAGCGCTTTGACATTTTGAACTATTTCGTGAGTTGAGAAAATCAAGTCTATGGCTGAGTTTCCTCTAGTTGGAAAAGTCACATGTTGAGTGAGGTTACCATCGCGAAGAGAACAGAGAAAACGAGCATCGGTGAGGAGAGATTCAGAGAGGAAATTAGTGTTGAAATCCCCTAGTACAACAGCTGGTAGCGGACCAGCACATAAGTCGATTATACTATCAGCTAGAATAGTATCGTCGTGAACGTTGGATGAGGGGGGTCTATAAATAAGGATAAATCTAAGTGGAGAAGGAGAACAAGCTGACCAAAGATCCAAGCCAAGCATGTCCCACTTGTGCCCATCACCAGTCCTTATTCGTTTCACTGCGAAATCCTCTTTGATTAGGCAGCATACTCCCCCACCCCTACGAACAGGCCGATCGACACGATGAAGAGAATACGGAAGATTACGTGATTTCGGAATCAAAAATGTTGGAATTGAACCAAGTCTCGGTGATGAAGAGAATATCAGGAACGTAAAGACTCAAGAATGTGTGCAAAAGATGAACTTTGTTAACCAGACTGCGAGCGTTAAAAAGGAAACAGCGAAGATGTGCAAAAGAGCCGAGCAGATTTACGCGTTTCCCTGAGTCTGACGTCTGGGTAATTCAGAGATGTGGTGCAGCTTTCCTCTATAAACTACCCATTCCCTCTGTGGTTTCGCCTTGTTCCGCTCTCTCGCAATCTGCCTTAATTCGTACTCCTTGGCTCGTTCCTCGGCTGTCATACTTCTTCGAACAAAAATATTGCTGGAATCGGAGCGTCGTAAGACGTGTGCATTCGAAAGCGCTTGGAGCCAGAAGGAGCGGGAGGGGAAGACCACTTTGACGAGCCTTGGACGACCTACATCGTACTTCCCCATCCTATAAACCTCTGAGGGCCAGCAGTCAACTCGCAACGTTTCCAACACCTTGGCAACACCAGCTTCTAACTCGGCCTTCCGTTCCATGAGAGACTTGCTGGGGTCCGACTCTTCTAGCTCTGCTAAAACAATGCTCCTTCCCCTTTTTTCAGCCTCCATGTCTTGAGGGAGCTTATCCTTTAGTGCCAGCAACATCCTGTTGATAACCGGGTCTTTGTTCTTCTCCAAAATCGATTGAAGGAGTTCATTGGCAGACAAAGCTGTAAAGTCTTCCTGAACATCTTCATCGATGGAATTCACGCCTAGAAGAGGTTGACTCTGTGGAACAGTAGCCTTTTTTCTAGTAACGGACCTGAAGTGGGCTGAGAATTTGACCTACCACTACGTGATGACATGCCTAGACTATTGATTGGAAGAGAATTCAAAGTAGAATTACAAGAAATGTAGGAGCTGAAGAGAATGACACGAAAAAAAAAAACGGATAGAAGGTTGGGAAAAATTTCACCAGAGATCTACAGCACAAAAATTTCTAGGAAAAACGTGAAAGAGTAGTTAGAAATTAGAAAACAAAGAGAGCTAATGAAGACACAGCCGCTCAACGACCTAGATATCGGAACATTTTGATGCGAATATGTAAGCATAGTGAAAGAAAACGTTAAGCTGGAGTTAGAACATGCATAACTTGCATGTACGCATTTCACACCTATCACTGCTCTTACTTGAGCAGTTACTTTGGGCTACTCACATGATTTTACATTGCTATGCGCGTGAAATGATGATTGCAAGTTGAAAAAACAAGTGACCATTGATGGAGATGTAATCCGTGAAAATTTTTACCATGGACCATTTATTTCCAGAATCTAAGCGTAAGAGCTAATATTGAGCGAAGATAGATGCTCGTATGCAATATGGTTACGCGAAAGCATGCGAGCCGTTACTGATTGCATTCCATGCCTCCGAAGATGACATGATTTGTGCCTGCTGTGCGACATTCCCCTCAGTCACTCTCAAGATTTATTCTGAAATATTCGAGCCAGGCTCCGACAGGTGCTTTTTTTATCCGCTTTAGTCTGGTTTTGACGCGGCTTTAACAGGTTACTACGCTTGTAGAACTTTTACCTCCTTAAAGATCCAGTGTTAGGCCTTGGGCAAGCTGACACAATTTCATCGTCTCGCGATTTTTGAACAAAGCAACTGTTTCGACTCTTTTGTATGCCGATTCTTTTGCAATTTGTTGTGTTAGTTTCCCGACACGACTAAGCGACTAATTTTCACAATCAAAATGCAAGGTGATCGACAGTTGTCTTGCCGTAAGCATCGCGAAGCGACGAAATTGCTTGAGCTATGCCCGAGGACGGATAGCAAATAGGTAATTTTTCGAATAGCACAACTCACACGGGCGCAGTACTTGGTCATTTACACATTGCAACGGGCATGCGTCTACAAAAGCTTCTGTTTTGGCAAAAACTCTAACTAAACAAACTAAAGTGTTCTTAGTTGTTTTGTTTTATTCTTTGCTTTATGTAAAAAAACATTGGAATATAGGTTTTTGAAGAAGAAGAAGAAGAAGAAGAAGAACTTGAACTTATCACAAGCATTGGCGTTCCGAGTTGAACACGCACGTAAATGCAATGTTTATTGCAGATCTATGCGTAGTAGATTGTAAATTAATGTGTACTCAGCCATAGAAACTCGGGTACTTCTAGCCTCCATAGAAACCGTGCCATGGTCGCCATCCATAGTTTAATCATAACCGCTCCATCCCCAATCTTCCCACCCCCATTGTCTCTTCACACGCTTTAGCTCACTTCTGGAACAGCTTTTATGAATGGAGAACATGAACATTTGAAAATTCCTATTTCCTCAGTGCAATTTTCGTCGCAGTAGTAGCATTTATGTAGACTACAAGCAAAGCAAAAACAAGAAAAAAAGACAGAAAGTTCATTTCTTAAAAATGAGATACAAAGACTTGTGTAGCAATATTTCTGAGGAATTCTCAAAAAGTTTGAAAGAAGAGCCTACACTATTCTAAGCCATTCTAAACATTAGCGGAGACGTTTCTGTAAATCGAAGATCTCTAAGATTTTGCAGATTTCATCGTCAATTGTGGTGGGAGATATTTGGAAGATTTGGAGGACAAATGCCGGCAGCCTTTTGGAGAGCAACTTTTTGAAACTAGTTTAGTTTAGTTTTTTGAGATTTTTTGGGCCCATGAACCAAATCAGAAAAGGGGGCGTGGCGGCAACCATGGCTCCAAAAAAATATTTCAATAGGCTACTTTTTTGTGAATTTTCAGAAAATTTAGAGAAATATTTTCTATTATGAGTGTAAACAAGCTACTTGCACATTTTTATAACTCTCATAAGACTTTCAAAAATCTCGAAACCCATTTTTGTTCGCGTCACCACCGCCACTCTCCTCGAACCGCCACTCATACCCTACGATTACACGTGCGCTTACACGACCGCTCCAATCCATGCCTTACTGGGAGTAAATCGCATATGTGTTAGCAAAGAGGTGGGGAAACATTTGGGAAGCAGATACCCAACGAAACAACAGATTCTTATATGCGGAGCACCTGATCTTGCTCGTAATTGCGGCTGCAAAGGTAGAAATCTTAGTGCATGTCATTTCGGTTAAAACGTAGATTTTCGAATGGGATTAGAAGATTTGCGGTTAGGGATTCTGGCTGCTAAGATACAAAAGCATTGAACTCTTCGGAAAAGTGAATTTCGCATTTGACTCAACCGGGAAAACAGAATTACCTCCTGGCCTTTTCAATAATCGCCCTTGAGTCGAAAGTCCGAGGTCTCTATTAGTTCAAAGGACCAGTAAATAACAAGGTTGCTTTGCTAAAAACTAGTAACGCAGCATGAAATAAACTCTGAATGAGGAAGTTACTTGAAGCTTTTTTGTATAAGTTCCAAGTAACGCATACTATAAATAGAAGAGTTGCCTATGATCGGACAGCTTCAGTTTAGTGGTTTTCACCCCTCACTTGTACCAAAAAAGTTTTTCGGTTATATGAACTCATGCTGAAATTTATTAGTTTTCAGCTAGCAGCTTTTCTGATACCTTTCACCAATGAAGGCGTCTATGTCTATCATCTTGTCGCTTCTGAGTTTGGCTTTGATGCTTGTTTTGGCACAGTCACGTCCATCATCCGACTCACTAATTGGTGACCAGTCAGAAGAAGTGGATACACAACGGTAATTATACTAAATGCAAAAGACGGGGAAATATAATACCAGTCAAAGAAAGCCGAGGCATCTGTTACTTGATCAACAGATAAGATGCAGGACGCTAAAAAAATCTACCATCTATTTGAATTTTTTTTAGCTCGCCCAATTTTCGTCCTTCTTTGATCAGAGTTACTACATGTTAGAGTTGATTTGAGCTCAAATGCTAAATGCATCCATACCAGGCAATACACCAAGAACAAAAAAATTTTACAAAGAAGCCGCATTGAGAAATTTCCAGCTTACACTATGTTTCTAATTTAGTGAATGATTGCTTGATTTAGAAAAATTTATCTACATAGAATAAACGAATCCTCTTCGCAGTGACTCTGGCAATCAGAGAGCGAGTAAGCGCAGCAGCATTTTCTCAATGTCTCTCAAAAACTTGTTAAAACCCATTCAGACAGTTGAGCGCATTTATATACATTAGACATGCGTTTGATTTGGAAATTAGTGTTTTGAGAAAATATTTTCTAAGAAAAACTTTTTAAAATTTCCTTACAAAAAAAAATTAGAAAATAATATTTTATTAGTATATTCAAGCACATTGCGAAACTGTAACTTTTCTTGCAAATTCTTGTTTACAAGGTGATTTATTTTAGTGAATGTAATAGGAGCATACGCAATCCTGCAGTAACACAGGCGCTCGGTGATATGTTTACATGAAACTAACACTTGAAGATTTTACGAAGTAAGTACAGCTGACAAGGAAAGCGTGTCTAGTCGAAGTGGCGTTTCTAAATGAGATTCACACTTTGAATAGCATTGCACGATGGCTTCAAATCTGCCTTTATATCTGCCAAGCGCGTCTAAACGCCGAGTTATAACCGTTTTTTGGAACGAAAATTGAGTGCAGAATTTAAGTAAAAACAATTGTTACAGCCTTTTTAATGCTCAGATAAAGCAATGTCAAGTATTAACATGCTAGACAAAATGAATCCGTTGGACAAGCTGCTCTGATACTCGACAACGGACTATTTGAGCAAATTTGGGCGATTTTGCTCCAGCTTTGCTTTCAATTTTTTGACCCGAAAAACGCTCATAACTCGACGTTCAGAAACGCTTGGCAGATAATGAAGGCAGATTTGGAATTACTGTGCAATACTCTTATAAGCAGTATGGGTCTGATTTGAAGAGGCCATTTCGACTCAACATACTTCCCCTTGTAAGTCATTTGCGACTTACAACTAATATTTGTATCGCACGCCACGAGCACACCTCAGAAATTGCGCACCTGTAGGAGAAGCCTTTGGGAAATCGACCCTATTTTCGTCTTTTCGATTTTTGTGGATGTGTGGACGTTACAGTAAATCTATTCAATTCCGATCTGTTTGTTTGCAACTAATTAGTCTTAGAGTCCCACGCAGAATGTGCAAATCAATTCGGACGTAGATTCTTGATTGCACAACCTTACTGCTTTCAGACAGAGTGCATGTAAATGACCATTCATTCCAGCAGCGTTCGTCAGAAAAGGCAGTTCTACGCGTATGGAGTGCCTGCACTTGCAGCCTATCATCAGGTCACCTATCCTAGCTATCTCCGTGTCTATCATCCTGGCTACGTGCCTCTATAGAAAGCGGACCGTTGCCTGCATGTGAACACAATTGATAGGTTTTGATTTTGTAGTATGATGTTTCTCCAGTTTGTATCTGTCTGAATATCTTTCGGCATAAACTTTTCATCTTTCATTTGTCAAGGTTTGTACCCTGTAAATGACTTAAGTAACACCATAAGCTTCAGATATGTAGCAGAAGTGGAAACATAATCGTATTTTGGAGCAAGTTAAAGCTACATTTTAATTATATGATTGTCACCGACATAAAAACTGAAGTTGTTTAACTGCAGCATGCATTGCAGTGCAGCGCATCGCCAACGGAGAGTGGAAGGCAGCTCAAAAGAGAGTTCCATCATTTGAAGCTTTGGACATCTGGATTTTTCTATCCATCCGCAAGGTTATCTACAACTTTTTGCTTTAAGCGTAAACGTATTGTCCAGAAGCGCTAAGGTGTAAAAGCCGCATTTTCCGTTTTTTGTATGATGCCCTGGTGATGATCATTAGCGACACCGTCTTTTCTTCACAGTCATTTTTCTTCATTCATAATAAAAAGGATCTAACAAAGGAAGGATACCCACTTAGATTCGTCTTTCAAGATGGGACACATATATTTGAAATCAGCTTTGAACGCCGATTCTCAATATGCTGTTCTTAGCTGCTTAGCGTCATTCCGAAGCGAGCTATCGGTTTGCTTTTATGAATAACTAACAAACTTCTAAATGTTGTAGGACGACGCGTAAATAAGAATCTGCTCGAAAAATCGAATTAACCTGATGCTAGGATGTTGAACTAACATCAGGTTAATTCTTTCGATCTTGAAACAGAGCATTATACAATTGCAGAACCACCTAAACGTCGACACCGTAGCATCAGTGGGTTGAGGAGTAAACTTTGCATAGAAAAGAGATCATAACTCGCTTCAAAATGAGGTTAAACAGCTAGGAATAGCATAGTTGGAATCAGCGCTCTAAGGTGATTCCAAATATGTGTCTCATCCAGAGTTGCGATAGGGGGAGCAATGCATCTTACCTCCCTCACGTTTTAGCCAGAATTCAGATAATCCCGTTCACCTGAGGCTGATTTGGGAAGGTAATCTGAGTGTGAATCATGATCAAAAAGTATTGGAGATTCACCTCAGTCGTGAAACACGTCAACCACATATTCCATGAAAAGAAGAGTTTCTGTCAGTTACAATGAGAAGTATTACAGTAGTTGCTTTATTCGCACTATCAATGGTGTCTACAGTAGATACTGTAGCATAAAAAATTAAGCAAATTCGAGAAAAAATAACTTGGAAATATGAACACACCAAAAAACGAGTACAAAATCAAAAAACATTCGAATTTTTTCAAGAACCTAAATGGCTGATGCTAATTCGTTGCCTCTTTCTTTCACGTTTTTTAGAAAAAAAATTTTGAGCACATACAAGCTTTATTTCCATGTGTCCTCGTCTTGGAACCTGGGCATATTTGACATATGTTGATGTACTAGTATTTCTTAGGGTTGGGCCAGACTTCGCTGGGAAAGCGGCGTACGCGGCTTACGCTGCGTACGCCGCGTTTCGTTTCCAGCGCAGTCTGACCCAACCCTTATGCCGCACAGGTTGGTATGGTGGAACTTTATTGACCTAACGTTTCGAACAACTCGTCTTCGTCGGAGGTTTGAAAAGGATTGTAGTTTACGCATCCGCTGTACTGTGCCGCCAAACATCTCGTCTGAGTCCGGTTCGCTTGACTCTTTTTCAGACGCAACGTACTGGGCACATCGAACGAGGGCAAACAAACCTTCGGTCCACCAAAGAGTCAGTAGTCCGCACTAGATCAGTGTGACAGACATCACTGAGTTCTGTCCAGTGTGTCTTGCTACTTATAGTGTGCGGTATCGAGCTCACACAACGATATCAATGGCAGTAGATCACTCGTTATCGTCAGACATTCGTTTCTGTTGTTCATACTCGGATTACGAGATTATATCCACACCGCTTTAAGGTTCTTTCGTGCTAGGATATCAGTCTCAAACGCTAGGATAACACATTTAACGCTAAAATCATTGCCGCCGTGCTCTTTAAACTTATGTTTACCTAACGGAGACAATAGGTTTCCTCGCCTCATGTTCGCCAAGTGCTCGCTCACTCTAGTACTTGAAGGTCTACCCGTCTCTCCAATGTACATTGTTCTGCAACTCAAGCATTTCAATTGGTAGACAGTTCCCGATTTAGCGCAGTCCCCAATTTTCCCGTAAGGACAGACTATGCAATCCTTTGATACACATTCAACATCGTAAACTCTGTTTCTGACCAACCGCCATTTGATATTATCTCTAGGAATGTCGATCAGCATGACTTCATTTTACAGCTGTGCTCGCAAGATGCCCTGTCTTATGGCTTCGCTAATTCTATCGGAAACAAAGGGTATGCACAAAGGAATCTTGTTATTCTTATTGCGCTCCGTAAGGCTAACACATTTATGATGACTAGACTGTTTTCTACGTGATCCTCCTGCTCCAAGCGTTTAGCCGTTACTGAGTCCAATGTCAGCTGCCAATTGTCGTGACTCGCGTCGCTCGTCATCGCCTGTGCACATTTCGGTAGCAGTTTTGAACATGTTCTGTATGATAGCATGTCTGACTGCTGGGGGTTGGGCTGACATAGCGTATAACATGTTTCTCGAGCTTTCCTTTCTGCACCATTTTATGCGCACGGTATTGTTAGACAACATCTGTGTATTCAGAAAGGAAAGCCATCCACCAGGGGTGTTTCACGTGTAAGCCGGATGCACTGTGATTGCTGGTTTAGAATTCGAAAACACTCATCTATTTCGGATTGTGTTGAAGTTACGGTACAGCAATCATCGATATATCGCCGGTACATCATCGGTAAGCGTGCAAGTACTGGTTCTTCGATCTTGCTCATGTAACATATTGCGATGACTGGAGCAAGTCTTTGGCCCATCGCGAGTTACATCAAACGTTTCTATAACACCATTTGGTTCATGCTTCAGCTGTCGTAGCTGCTCAATGAACTGATGGGTGTTGGACAAATGTGACGGGACCTTTGGGAGCAACTGGCTTACGATTTTATTCTATTCGGTCAGTAAGACCGCCTACGCAGCTTATGATGGGGCGGATCTTCTACGTTTCCGGCAACATGGAGTTGGTCTCGTGAGCCGCTACTTTATGAGTTTTTAACAGGTGGTGGACAATTTGGATTGTTCACTTTCAATCTCTTTACGAAATTATCATCAAGGCCTGCTGATCTACTGACACTAATCCATCTCGTTCAACCTTTTGCACTTAGAATACGGAACAATTTGGACTGTTCACTTTCATTCTCTTTACGAAATTATCGTCAAAGCCTGCTGATCTACTGACACTAATCCAAACTTCGTTCAACCTTTTGCACTATGCTTGAAAATCTCTCTGGGTAGCATGCTGGTAAACTGTCGTGTCAGAAAGATGCAACTGTGCAATCTCTCTGTCTAAACTTTTAGGCATCACTACGAACTCGCCGCCCTTATCGCTTATCGATAAACGGGTAGATCCTTTAGTTAACATATCGCGCATCTCTTTGTAACCTCGCCATTGCTCACGTGTCAGGTTTGTTTAATAGACTCCCCTGAATTTGTTCAGAACATGTAATCAGTAGAAAAGATGCAAGATGCGAAACTTTGTATCATCCATCAGTACTGGTTCAGGTTCTTTATAGAAGAAGCGAGGAAACGGTATCGTTGGTAGCATTAATTTCTTTGTTGCAATCAAAGTTTGGACGTTTTCAAACTTAGCCTTCAATCTCAGTGAATCACGCACTTTGTGTAAATTACCCAAGACTTTACGGCAGAATGATGCATTTATGCTTTGCATTGCGAAAGATGGTCCGAGACTGAGGAAATCGGTAGCGTGCGCAGATGAATGAATGTTGCCGATAGTAGTGACCCTCCCAGAAATTTCATTGGTAGCTGTTGAGTCAGTAAAGCGGTGGCTATGAAGACGACAAACCTCATCGTTTGCATGTTCACCACGTAGTGCGTCCAAGAGTTGGTCGTAATTTTGCAGAGTCTCGATATGATCTTAACCGCACAGTGTCACAGATTGGCTGCGATCCTTGTTCAATCTTTTTCCAAAGTTCTTCTTGCAATAGACGTTTACAATGCATTTCCTTATAGTTACACTTTAATAATGTGGAATACAACATTGTCTTCTTATTCTTGATAACAATATTCAACATGTTGTGGTAGATATTGACTATCTTCTTATCAATAATCGACAATTGGCAGCTGACATTGCACTCAGTAACGGCTATATGCTTGGAGCAGGAGGATCACGTAGAAAACCGTCTAGTTATCATAAATGTGTTAGCCTTATGGAGCGCAATAAGAATAACAAGATTTTTGTGCATACCCTTTGTTTCCGATAGAATTAGCGAAGCCATAAGACAGTGCATCTTGCGAGCACAGCTGTAAATTAAAGTCATGCTGACGGCATTTCTAGCGATAATATCAAAAGGCGGTTGGTCAGAAACAGAGTTTACGATGTTGAATGTTTATCAAAGGATTGCATAGTCTGTCCTTACGGGAAAATTGGGGACTGCGCTAAATCGGGAACTGTCTACCAATTGGAATGCTTGAGTTGCAGAACAATGTACATTGGAGAGACGGGTAGACCTTTAAGTACTAGAATGAGCGAGCACTTGGCGAACACGAGGCAAGGAAACCTATTGTCTCCGCTAGGTAGGCATAAGTTTCAAGAGCACGGAGAACCACCCAGTTCAACCGGCAATGTGAAGAGGAAACTGTGCGTAGGAAACCACCAAGTTATGGTTTCAAATTTGGTGATGTGGTGACCTCTGCTACGAATTTTTCTAGTTTCCTGGTTTGATTCATATCTCCAAATTTCCATCTATTTTTCTAAAACAATCTTCACTTTTTGTAGGGGGCAGGAACTCAAACAACTATTCTTTTTAAGCTCTGTCTCTTGACAGAAAATATGAGGACGATGCTACTACAATAAGAATTTTTCTGAAGTAGTGAGTAGTGCAAAGCACAGAGAATATTTGTACGTACAACAGCATTTTGTAAGACTATCGCACTAACCATCACATCAGTATCTGCATAGTGACCTTGTTCGGTACTTGTGCAAGTATTCAAGTGATGTCTTGTTTTCAAGTCATCCATGGCATGAATAGAATAACACTGGACCTATGCGGATGCTTATAATATATTGTACGTGACTACTCAGACAATTATCAACAATAAGGGTTCCTCCAAATTAAGCTGTATGACGTGACAGCCTGCCACAGCTTCGGCGTGCCTCACTGCAGCTGCAGCGAAGATATGCTTATGGCATCCGCAGTTTTCCATATTTATCATTCTGTGCACGTTCGCATTCGTAGAAAGCATCGTTAAGAATCAGCAGCCTTCTTTCTTTTTTGCCTGTCCATTTATAAGTTCAGTGGTTTTCATTCAGGTTAACTTTTGGCGCGTTCTCAACTTCACCAAACTTATTTCGCTTCACGTACTTCTTAGTCAATGACCACCTCTGTCTAGTTTTACTCATACTACTATATTTTCGTGTCTTCGCATATTTCCGCTGGGACCATAGCGTCGTACGCCGCAGGCTGCGGCAGGCTGCTGCTTCCTGCGGCGTAGTGTGAAGAAAGGCAGCGAGGAACTCTCAATGAACGTTAATACTACAAATATCACAGTAAGCGGGAGCGACAGGCTTTCGGTTCATGGCCATAATGACTCATTAGGATAATAGTGACAGTACCGTATATTGCTACAACGCACTCAGCAAGCGACGACCAGGCGGTGACTGCCTGAACCGAAAAGAAGCGATAAAGACGCAAATGCTAGTTGTTGTGAACGGGTCGCGAACATGCTATGAGCGAACAGCTAGAAATGATGGCTATGATAAGATGAGCTTGCAACAAGAGCTACAGTCGAGTAGATTTTTCGCTCAATATAGTGTGCTTGCACTGAAGGTTAAATGCGGTAAAATTTGCGAGTAAGGAGATAGCTACGCCTGTGACGCCGGCCATTTGCGCCGCAAATTGTTGGCATTAATGGCGTGGCTACTTGTTCACGCTCAAATTTTACCGCATTTCACCTTCAGTGCAAACACACTATATTAAGCACAGCATATTAAGCACACTATTAGCACACTATATTAATCTACTCGACTGTACAGAGTTTCTGCTGGTTGGGTGGCGGTTTTGTGATAACCGGGTGAGATTCCTTGAAGATTGTTGGTGTAGTTGCGTCAGCGATTGGTTCCTATTGGGCACAATTCATGCCCTCCAACAATGAAATACTTCAGCACCATTTTCGGGGTCATTCCGCAACGATTCATTCACCTTTTCTGAGATAAGGCTTCAACGAAAATCCTTTGTTGCTTCGTGGGCTAGTTTACGAGAATCACCGGCGCTGAGCCATAAGTCAATAACTTTTGGACTGCACCGGCACTGCATGTCAACTGATCTACCATCTTGTCCGAAGACCCAATGTTAGCGACAATGTATAGGTCATTCGTTTGAATAGCATCAAAGTTGGAGCGAGTGTTTGTAGGCCATGTACAAAATGCAACAGTCCGTCTACAGCACTTCAAGGCGAGGTGCCTTCAGAAAGGCAGGCTAAAGTGAATTGAAGAATTAGACGTTGTTTTTCGAAATTAGGAGCGAGTGGCATATTGGTATGAAGAGCCGCTATGACCAGATCGGACACAGGTTGGGGGCTTGGTTGGCCCAGGTTTAATCTCGCCCCTGGGCCAACCAAGACCTCTATCCTCCGGGCTGGCAAATTGGTACTAGAGTAATTTGGGAGGATAAAAGCACTAGCTTTGTAACCGGCTGGCCCCCGCAAGTCAGTGTAGTAGGCCCGCAAGCATTCATGCCTCTTCTAGTATGAAGTAGAGTATGAAGACGCCGCATCCTCTATCCTTTATCCTTTCTCAAAGATAAACAAATCAACAGCTTTGCCTGTTCTAACTAAGCTAGACCAGGAAGTATGGGTCAACTTGAAGACAGTGTTCCAGCAAAATTTCGCTTACCACTACCTCCCATAATTGGGCTTTGCAGTGCATGGAAAAAAGCTCTCCAAGTTCTCATTCGCTGTACGTGTTGTGCGCGGGGTCCGGAAGACTTTCAGGGTAAATTTTTGGGTTTCCAGACATTCCCAGACAAGCTTTTTCGTTCCAGACTTCACTGATAGATTAGTTGGGCGGGGGGGGTCTGCTATCGCAATGCTATAAAATTCCGGTATTCATAATTTTGACGAGATGCTGCTTTTAAAGTCAATTTGAGCGACGAAATGTCATAATTCTCATTCTCAAGTTGAAGGATGAATGCAAAGTTTATTGCAAATTCACAAAAAGCTGAGTTGTGAATTCAATGCCGTCCCCAGCCGTAAAAGCCCGGATAAACCCAGCCTCCATAGAAACCGCCCCATGGTCGCCATCCATAAGTGTATCCGTAGCCGCTCCATCCCCAATTTCCCCATCCCCACTGCCTCTTCACGCGGTTTAGCTCTCTCCTAGAACAGCTTTAATGAATAAAAAAGTTGGTCATTTGAGAAATTACCTTTCTTTTGGTACAGTTTCTCCTACAGCCGTTGCATTGATATACACGACAAGTAAGGCGAGAAGAAGGCAGACAGTTGAGAAGTTCATTCCTGAAACTTGTTATAAAATAGATACATGAACGTGCAGGAAATATCATCGCAAGGTAATTCAAAATAATATGCAGTCAAACGTTCTAAGTTTTGCAGACATTTCTGGTCAAAGTTTAAAGAAGTGATTTACTTAGATCTGGCTTTTTTTATGTAGTGAAAAAAAACGACGTCTTCTCGCAAAATTATGGATGTGTGGGAATTACTCGACTTGAAAAAGTTATCTAGTTGAATTTTAAAAAATTGAAGTTTGGCGAAGCAGACGTCGGTGATTATATGATTATACTGCACAAATTTCAAGTGTTCCAGTACACAAATGCCAAGAATTTATCCGCATAATAAAAAATCTGGGTCGGTAGTAAACCTATCGAAACTCAGAGTTATAACTCAGAGTTAACTCTGAGCTAACGCGCAACTTTTTGACCCTTTTAACAGGTGTTTGAACAGATCATATCCGGAAAGCGATGATATGGCAGGATTCTCCTTAACACGTAGTTTATTCCTAGTAGCGCAACATTGTCCAAATCGTCCTGCACAAGAAACAGCGCCACAAAACGCGCAACTAGTGTCTGCAATAACTCTGAGTTTGGTGTGAGTTCCAGTCTATCGTGGAACTCAGAGATAACTCTGAGTTTGGTCAGAGAAAGAGAAATAGTGCGCAAAAGAAGAGGGGCAGCTAAAAAGTCCTCCGGGGTACATTTTGCTCGTAGTTTAAGCAGGCATGATGGGGGTATCGTGGTGCGCAGTGATTTACAAAATTTTGAAATTCTGTAAAACTTGGCCCAGGGGGTTATTCGGTGCGCTAATCACGCATATGGTACCCATTTTTTACTAAGGGGTCATGTAGAAGTGTTACGGTAGGTTTACGGTAGATGGGAGAAAATCACGAAACTAATCGAAACTTGGTACACTGGGGTTATTCGGGGCGCCGATAACGAATATGACATGTGGATTATATTGCAGTGTCATCTGACGGGGTTACTGTAGGTTTACGGTAGATAGGAGAAAATCACGAAACTGATCGAAACTTGGTACACTGGGGTTATTCGGGGCACCGATAACGAATATGACATGTAGATTATACTCCAGTGTCATCTGATGGGGCTACGGTAGGTTTACGGTAGATGAATTAAAGCGGCGAAATTAGCCGAAATTTGGTATGGAATGATATGGTATGATACACTGGAGTTATTCGGGATGCAGATTACGGATAATCTATCTGTGACATACACTGGTGACATATGGAACGGTTACGGTAGGTATACGGTAAGTAAGACGAAATCATGGAAGGGCAAACTTTGCCCGGAGGATTTATTCTGTGCGCAAATCCTAATAGTCAATTCTTATCATTGCGTATGCCATCAGCTTTCTCTGCTGTTTGAAGCTTTCAGCTGCGCAAAAGACCAATCCTCGTGATGAACCATCACTGCCCGATAGAAATGGAAATGAGTGAGGCTTTGGTATAACTTGTTTTGACCTGCTAAGTGTTAATGGAATGAGTGAGTACATTATGGCAAAGCAATTTTAGGGTTCGTGGATGTGTCATGGTCTAGCGGTTTAGTGATAGGATCTTTACGCTAGACCATACAGGTTCGAGTCCCTACTTTAACGTCGCTTTTGCAGCAAAGTGCTTAACAGCTCCTCAAAGCAAAACTCCGAGCTTGAGAGTTGGAATTCGGAATTACGAAAGCGGAACTCAGAGTTTCAATAAGCGTAACTCAGAGTTTCAGAAACGGAACTCAGAGTTATCTATGAGTTAACGCGGAGCTTCAAACTTGGAGTTTCGACCAGAGTACTACCGACCCTGCTCATTTTTTGAGGTGAATGTTTGAACACAGAATAGTCAAGACTGATTAGTAATATATGGCACGATGGGAGCAAACAAATTTTTGTATGCTGACAGATACACCCTACGCTACTCTGCCTATATGCAACATAAGCAAAGATTAGAGGCTGTACCGACTGAAGTCCAGCTTGGAAATGGAAGCAGCTTTTGTAAGAACCAGTGAACATTGAATGACTGGCAACAAGCCATCACCTACCAGGCTTTAAGTAGTCACCGAGGTAGCTGTGAAGAGTTCTTAATGGACGTTTTTTCTTGACTCTTAAGTGTTCATAGAGTTGTTTTCTTTGTGCTGCGACAATTCTCAAAGAGTTGAAGCGCGTGCTAATTTTTCCAAATAAAGAATGGAACATTACGTGCATGCCAATGGGTCAGGAAGTTCAGCTAATTAGCAGGGAATCTCTTTCGTAACAAGTCCACAAGAGCAACATCATTCTTCCCTATGCTCGCTTCAAAATCCCGCAATCAGTAAAATTTTCGAGCATATAATAAATAAGTTGTGTAGTGAGTTCTGTTCCATTTTTTTTCATTTTTCTCAGCATTTTGCACGGTGTTTTGCAAACTGTATATATGCATTCGAAAGCTCTAAGTTTGCTGTGCAGATTCTTATGCGTCATCACCTAATTTAGGAAAACTGAGAAAGACTTTTTCATCAAAACTAAGAATCCGAGAGTAGAAAAACTTATTTTCAACTTCTATTTCCTCTCCAATTTTTCCATTTCTTATTGATGTATTATTCAACAAGCTTGACAACGAACAAAACATTCTACTGTACTCTTACTTTTGTACTCTAACTTTGTGCTTGTTCCCTTCTCCTTTACCGACTTTTAATGTCATTTTCTTTTTCAGAAGACGGCGAAGTAAGACTTTATTGCGGTGATGTTCACCGTACCTGCCCAGTATGACCATAAACTTCTAAGTTCTGGGTAAGTAACCCATGATTTCGAGAATTTAGTAACCACAAACCTTCGCTCTTTCCTGGGTTATCCGTCTACTGCCCTGCCTTTGCCTACAACGACATTGAAGATACGTTAGAAAGAAGATTTGCCTGAAGTCCATAAAAGTAATTTCGAAACTTTCAGCACTCCTGTTGCACTGCAGAAGCTTTAAGCTTTATCATTCTTTCTTTACTCGCATCAGATTTTTCGAGCTGTTTCGTACACATTTTGACTAATTTGGAGGGTGATCAATGTAGTCGAAAAGAAATGTTTTCTTCTTCGATTTTCCAAACTTAATGCTGGAAAACCTTCCAAATCTTCTCTTATAGAAAACTGAAGCAAAAATTTTGGTACAGTCTTAGAGCTCTCAAATGCATATACACGTTTTGCAAAACACCGTGCAAAATATTGAGAGAAAATTTTGAAAAAAGATGGGTTAAACTTATTACACAACTTATTACTACGAAGCAATTAAGGTTGGGAACACTGAAAACTCAATCATTTCAAATTGTTTTCTGTTTCTCAATTATTCTAATGTGACTTAGCCACGTCTGTATTTGAGGCATTAAATGAGGTTTTTGCTGACCTTATTGAGCCTGAGAATACATCCAGCGTAATAATGTTTTCGCAAGTAACTGAACATCTTCCCTTGTTGATATTTCTCTTTAATCTCCCACACCATACATTGTAATAAGAAGCTGCCTCATCAAAGTTTGAAGAAAGGTAGAAAATATACTTACATGAAAATGTTCAGAAATCGGAGTGGCCAATCTGAACAAGTTTCATAAGATTCGATGCAGGTTGCAATGCTAGCTTCAAATCTGTATTCCTTATCTGCTTTGCGCCTCTATGAGCGAAGTTCAAAGCCGTCAAAGGTGGGTGTATGTCGAAAGGCGCGCGTTTCGGCAATCGTCATTGCCAAAAGGGATTTGTACTCTATAAAAGCGAGGTTTCCAAATTCCTTAAGTCTTGTCATTATATCAGAAATATAACGAGGATTACTGTTAAATCCCGGAAGCACTAAACCAATTTTGGGCTTTTTCCCTTGTTTTTCTGATTAGTGAAAGTCAATCAATACGCGCCATTCGAGGTTCGCGTCTCCCTTCAAGGTTGCTATTTTGCCAAGAAATCGTGCATGAAAAGTGCAAATTTGGCAGCACAGAGCCATGTTCGGCATAATGCTGGGCCAAAAAATGCAGGTTAATTTGTATTCTTGAAGCCTAAAGGTAAGCTAAATGTGCAACTGTGCTCAATTTCGTAGCTTTCATGTATGACGATTGAAAATGTAAACGCAATAAAAATGCTCATAACGTCGTCCACAGCGCTAAGCATTACGGAGCAGAGGTGCGATAGGGGGAGCCAAGTCTCCCCCTACCTTCACTTTTGAGCTGGTACGGGGTGACCACCTTCACTTTTGGAATAAAAAATTTTTCGCCGGACGACAAAGAAGGAAAATAAGCAAAACAAACGCAAAAAAGATTATTGAAAGCATATATTTATGTATACGGCGGCATATATATTTAAAATAAAGGTTTTTAGTAAATGGTGTATTTGGAAGTAAAGCTTAGCAAAACTGTACGGATTTTATTAAGCAAATTATGTTATAACGTATAGCGAAGGAAGTAGGTCGATCCAGGCAGTAACGGCGGAGAACCAGAATTTTGAATATTTAAATAGTGAAAAATCATACGAAATTTCCACTGTTATAAATCTGTTGTTTGAAGATGTCAGCAGTTGCGACTTCATAGGTTTTAAAGAGTAAATGTTGCTCTATCAGCTAGTGAAGGAATCGGGTCGATTTAAGAGATAGTCGTTGAAAACCAGAGTTCTAAAACTTTACGCCATTTTTGCGTGTTTTTTGACTGTTGAGAGTTAAACTCTTATAAATCTTGAATGTGGAAGTGTATGATGTTGCGACTTCATAGGTTTTATAGAGTAAGGTTTGCCTTATCAGAATATGTCTTGTCCGTTGCGATCCATTGAAACACCTCCGAGATCCAGAGTCTTGAAAAAGCAGGTAAAAAAGCGCTTTTTGAAATTCAACAGCTCGTAACTTCTTCAGGATTGCACGAATCATGTTGCGACTTCATAGGTTAGATTCTTCTCGTCAAGAGCTTTCAGATGATATATATACACTGAAAACTCAATCATTTCAAATTGTTTTCTGTTTCTCAATTATTCTAATGTGACTTAGCCACGTCTGTATTTGAGGCATTAAATGAGGTTTTTGCTGACCTTATTGAGCCTGAGAATACATCCAGCGTAATAATGTTTTCGCAAGTAACTGAACATCTTCCCTTGTTGATATTTCTCTTTAATCTCCCACACCATACATTGTAATAAGAAGCTGCCTCATCAAAGTTTGAAGAAAGGTAGAAAATATACTTACATGAAAATGTTCAGAAATCGGAGTGGCCAATCTGAACAAGTTTCATAAGATTCGATGCAGGTTGCAATGCTAGCTTCAAATCTGTATTCCTTATCTGCTTTGCGCCTCTATGAGCGAAGTTCAAAGCCGTCAAAGGTGGGTGTATGTCGAAAGGCGCGCGTTTCGGCAATCGTCATTGCCAAAAGGGATTTGTACTCTATAAAAGCGAGGTTTCCAAATTCCTTAAGTCTTGTCATTATATCAGAAATATAACGAGGATTACTGTTAAATCCCGGAAGCACTAAACCAATTTTGGGCTTTTTCCCTTGTTTTTCTGATTAGTGAAAGTCAATCAATACGCGCCATTCGAGGTTCGCGTCTCCCTTCAAGGTTGCTATTTTGCCAAGAAATCGTGCATGAAAAGTGCAAATTTGGCAGCACAGAGCCATGTTCGGCATAATGCTGGGCCAAAAAATGCAGGTTAATTTGTATTCTTGAAGCCTAAAGGTAAGCTAAATGTGCAACTGTGCTCAATTTCGTAGCTTTCATGTATGACGATTGAAAATGTAAACGCAATAAAAATGCTCATAACGTCGTCCACAGCGCTAAGCATTACGGAGCAGAGGTGCGATAGGGGGAGCCAAGTCTCCCCCTACCTTCACTTTTGAGCTGGTACGGGGTGACCACCTTCACTTTTGGAATAAAAAATTTTTCGCCGGACGACAAAGAAGGAAAATAAGCAAAACAAACGCAAAAAAGATTATTGAAAGCATATATTTATGTATACGGCGGCATATATATTTAAAATAAAGGTTTTTAGTAAATGGTGTATTTGGAAGTAAAGCTTAGCAAAACTGTACGGATTTTATTAAGCAAATTATGTTATAACGTATAGCGAAGGAAGTAGGTCGATCCAGGCAGTAACGGCGGAGAACCAGAATTTTGAATATTTAAATAGTGAAAAATCATACGAAATTTCCACTGTTATAAATCTGTTGTTTGAAGATGTCAGCAGTTGCGACTTCATAGGTTTTAAAGAGTAAATGTTGCTCTATCAGCTAGTGAAGGAATCGGGTCGATTTAAGAGATAGTCGTTGAAAACCAGAGTTCTAAAACTTTACGCCATTTTTGCGTGTTTTTTGACTGTTGAGAGTTAAACTCTTATAAATCTTGAATGTGGAAGTGTATGATGTTGCGACTTCATAGGTTTTATAGAGTAAGGTTTGCCTTATCAGAATATGTCTTGTCCGTTGCGATCCATTGAAACACCTCCGAGATCCAGAGTCTTGAAAAAGCAGGTAAAAAAGCGCTTTTTGAAATTCAACAGCTCGTAACTTCTTCAGGATTGCACGAATCATGTTGCGACTTCATAGGTTAGATTCTTCTCGTCAAGAGCTTTCAGATGATATATAATATGTGGGGGTTTAGAGCCTCCTGCGAATTATGACCGGGGGGGGAGACTTTTTAGGCCAAAGTCTCCCCCGGCAGCCTCCAGCCAATACATTAAAATGGGCGAGGGGGAGACTTTGGCCTAAAAAGTCTCCCCCCCCCCGGTCATAATTCGCAGGAGGCTCTAAACCCCCACATATTATATATCATCTGAAAGCCCTTGATGAGAGGAATCTAACCTATGAAGTCGCAACATGATTCATGCAGTTCTGAAGAAGTTATGAGCTGTTGAAGTTCAAAAAGCTCTTTTTTACCTGCTTTTTCATGACTCTGGATCTCGGAGGTGTTTCAATGGATCGGAACGGACAAGACATATTCTGACAAGGCAAACCTTACTCTATAAAACCTATGAAGTCGCAACATCATACACTTCCACATTCAAGATTTATAAGAGTTTAACTCTCAACAGTCAAAAAACACGCAAAAATGGCGTAAAGTTTTAAAACTCTGGTTTTCAACGATCGACCAGATTCCTTCACTAGCTGATAGAGCAACATTTACTCTTTAAAACCTATGAAGTCGCAACTGCTGACATCTTCAAACAACAGATTTATAACAGTGGAAATTTTGCATGATTTTTCACTATTTATTTATTCGAAATTCTGATTCTCGGCCGTTACTGCCTGGATCGATCTACTTTCTTCGCTGTACGTTATAACAAAATTTGCTTAATAAAATCCGTACAGTCCAACAAACTTCTACTTCCAAATACACCATTTACTAAACACGTCTATTTTAAATTTTTATAAATAAAATTTATAGATATTTTTAATATTCATCGTATCTGTGGCCCTAAAGAGGGCCGTTGGGTCGACGTTAGACCTAGAAAGATAGCTCCGTTCGTCCGTTCTATCCTCCCCCCGCACCTCCCCCCCCCCCCGTCGACGTTTTTGGGAGGTGAGTGTCCGACACTACCACCTTCACTTTTGGCCGGCCAGTGGTAGCTGAAACCACCTTCACTTTTGGGGGACCCGGCTCCCCCTATCGCACCTCTGTTACGGAGTACAGATGCCAAACCAGCGTTGGATGCCGCATCGAATGGCAGCTTGCTCGGATTGGCCACTTCGACTCTGACCATTCCCTTGTTACCCTTGAAGTTAACGGATTGGCTGCCCGAAGGCGGGGCTTCATGACGTGATGAAGGCTAGGTAATGATCAAAGAGCACGAGCGCGTGAGAGACGCTGACTGCGTCGCGGGCGCGAGAGGCCATTACTAGGTCACATAGCCCCCGCCTTCCAACCTTCAGTTGAGTCAAAGGTTAGCTCGAGTTCTCGCCAAGGTTGTAAACGCAAAGTCATTGTGGACCTCTTCAAAAATGCAGCATGCATCCCACCAGGGATGGGGTGATCAGCAGTCCTCAAGCCAGCGGGCTGGCTTTTGCTTGTAGAGCATTTTTCTTGCTTTGAATGCAGACTTGATAGAATACTTTAAAATCTCTGCCTGTGTATTCTCTTGAGATCTAACAAAGAGCTGTTCTTTAACCGTGCCTATGAATACGGTCACGGTTATGCTAATTGGTTACTCTTTATTGATTGTCAACCTCACTAGTAGAATCTTCTAATTAATCGCCATTCTACTAGATTCTAGATTCGGTACAATGCAGCTGAAATCCGCTTGGTCACCTCTATCGCAATCATGCAGTAATGAAGATGATGAATGATAAATTCTATACAAACAAGTCTTTATACAATATAATATACACGCATAATATGTCGTCATTGTCAGCATCGGATAACAAAGTGAGTTGGGGTTTACCCCCATCCAAAAGGTCCGCCGAATCCCCATGGTCGTGGTCCCCAACCCCATGGGCGACGAAAGCCCCACGGTCCTCCTCCATAGCCCCAGGGACCACCCCATCCGAATTGACGTCTTTCTCGATGGATGGGCCTGATTGTAACAGATAGAAGCGATAATAAGATTAGAAAAATTTGCATTTACCTGTCTTCCTCCAAGTCGTCATAAAAGTTAGAATATGGGTACACTTTTGGGTAGACTACAGGAGTTGTTGTCACGGTATAAAATGCAGGGAACACTATCGTAGCTATCATAAAAAGCAGTAAAGACCGCAGAAGTAGGGCTTGCATCTTACCTGAAATATACTTTCAAAAAGCTATCCAGATACTAAAATCTTCATTGCGAGGGTTCTCATGATGTTGAATTGTCAACAAATGGTCACAAAGATAGACTCAGTAAGGCCACAATCCCTTGAATTTACTTCGAAAAAACCCAAATAAGTGTGTTGCAAGAAGAGACAAGAGTGGGTAGTAATTGGGTAGCATTAGATGTTTTTATAGCTACAGTTGATTGTAATGTTTTTCACACTATCAACACACAAGACGTCTGGTCTTACTGGTACACCATGCCCGAAATATCAATCAATCATAGTTTCCCTACTCCGTCGTTTGTAAGTTTTCAGCAGGTGACTTTTACTACTAGGCCTTATGCAGACGAGTTTGTAAATGTCATAATTATACTCACAATGACCAAGCAGGTTAGATTTCGTCAACTCTACGGACAGCAGTCTACTCGCCGAACAGCTATGATTTAAAACTAGATGTAAATTGCAATTCAGAAATCAGTAAATGACGCGATTGCAGTCTTTGAAAAAAAGTCAGTTATATTTATGGCATTTCTACAGTTTTTCTGTTTTAAGTGACGAAGAGATCTTCAAGTTCAAACAACAAGAGAGCAGATGTCATTCGTAAAGTATTAGGTTGGAATATAAGTCTTGCATCAAAATTCAAAAAATTAATTTAAGTATGCTCGAAGTAGTAGCATTTCAATCTGCATAGTTTTCGTGGTGTATGATTTATTTTGTTTTGAATGCATACTTTAGAAGTTTCAATTCAACCAAATTTTGAAAAATAAAATTCGAAATCGACAACTTCTCGTAGAGACGTCTTGCTAGCACAAATTTGTTTTAGGGGAAAAAGCGCAAAATCACATCTTTCTAGTTTTATAAATACACCGAGGTGCACCAGAATGAGAAAAAAAATGAAAAGAAGATCCATACATTGTTATCAATTCAAAAAAGTAAAACAAAAAATTTTTGGGCCTTTCAGCGTTCTCGGAGATAAAAAGATGGAAGCCTTCAACAGGTTCTGTTGCCGGAATATAACAATAATATTCTTGCTGTAAAAGTATTTGGAGAGAGTAAGGTTTTCTTTTTCTAAGTCATGTTATTTCAAACGGATTCGTCAAACTTGTAGGAAATTACGGACTTTTAGAAAATTTGGCCCAAGACTTATGTCTTAACCTTATACATTTGTTTGATATTTACCCTAGTGCAGAACGGATCAAGGAGCATAATTGCCGCGGAAGTCCATAGCTTTGCCTAAAGTCATTTTTGCAACTATTTCGCTCCTTTTTTTGAAAAGCCAGTGGCACAAGAAATCAGGGAAACATAAAAATTTGCAAAATTGGTCTTTTACCTTTGTGAACGCCATCGCCACGCTTTGCGAACTTACAATTAGTGCAGAAATTTTAGATCTTGTTTGTATTTTTGAAAAACTAAAACCATTTTGATAAAACATGGCACTTATTGGAAGAAACAATTTTCGAGAGGATTTTAGCAAATGTGGTTTGAAAAACCACAACCCAACGAAACAATGACATGTCCCTAAGGCTTGCACCAAAAGTTCGAAATACTTGAAGAAATCTACCTTTAACGCAAACAATCTATTGATTGATAAATGACGCATGTTGATGGACGTAGAGAATCAAATCAAAAAATAGGCTTAAAAATTTGGTTATTGTTTTACCCGGTTTTACCAGAAAGGATAGATGCCAACGATGCAGTGCCAAAAAACCTTGTTTATTAAACTTTGTAGTTTAACAATCGAAAATGGAAAATGTTAATCGCGAAATTTTTCTCACTTTGTATAGACTTGCCATCGATTTTTTGCATCAAACACAGCTAGAAAAACCTCTATGAAATTTATGGTGTTAGTTTATCCAGGCAACCTATTTGCAAAAAAATTTCTTACTACCATGAATAAGCTGATTAACATCTGCAACGGACTTAAGGCAGTAATAGCGATTAATTTCAAGAATTAAACAAAAGAGCCGCTTTTTTCTATGGAAGAATATTCTGTTCAAAAATAGCAATGTTTACTTCAAATCAAACTTCTAAAGAGCATGCTGAGAAAATCTTTGCTCTTGCCTTTTTTTACATTCTCAGTAGGAGTAGCGTCAAATCAGCAAAATCTCAGCTTGGTTAGTTGCATTCCCTCTCCCAAATTTGACTTTTAATGTGCAACGGGGCAACAGCTAAGCATGATAATTAGACTGTGTCAGGTTGTCTCAAAAGTAAACTCCAATTCCAAATAAATCGAAATGTTTTTGTTATCCTAGCAAGCCTAGGGTACCATTAAATAGAGCTAGGAAGCTCTACAGAATGACCACCACGCTTGAGCCTCAATCCAGATATTTGGAATCAAAAATAGCTACCTTATAAATCGAATTTCCTTTCAGAAGATTCCTTCTGACCTCCAACCTGGTCATTTTGCAGCAGACACATAGTGGTACCCAATAACGTAATTGTTGGATTTTTTCCCAGGCTCAAAATCAAGAAATTAAAATAGCCTCAAGGTGCAATGTCTTTTTTTGGATTTTCTTAAACTTGTATTTCTAGATTACCAGGCGCATACAGAGGTAAAATTTCAAGGTTATACTTACTAAGGTTTGTAGTTTGCAATGACATATGTTATAAAGCTTGATCAGTTCTATTGAACAAAAGTCTAAATCTGCTTGGAATACAAAAGCAGCTTGATATATGCACAAGAGGACTCCACTTTCACAACTAATAGAGTCAAATAATCGTTCTTATTTGGAGAAGTTCCATTTACAGCCACTTGTAATGAGCTAGCTTATCACATCACGAAATCTCGAGCGAACATATGTAGTCGGCAGTGGCGGTCCCAGGATTTCGGACCGGGGGGGGGGACAGGAATTTTTTTCAAATGAAGGTGCGTGGCGTCAGTCACGCACTCCGAAAAATTTTTTGGGGGGCTTCTCAAAATTTGCGGCCAATCCCTAAAATATGGAAAAAAGGAGCGTGGCGCCACGCCCCGGAAAAAAAATTTTTAGAAGGCTAATTTGAATTTTAAAAATTTTTTAAAAGTTATTTTAATTAAATACAAAAATAAACAAGTCGTTTGCACATTTTTATAACCCATATAGGTAATTGTCAAAAATTTCGCGACCCACTCTCGGGGGGGGGGGGGCGCCGCCACTGGTAGTCGGGTGTCTGTGCGTTATCTTTGTGAAGAAGACCAAGAAGATGGGAAGTCGCCACCATTTTCTTTTTTGCCAGGTCTTGATTTCTAAGTAAGTATCTTGTTGACCTAATGGCGCTCTGGAGAGTCAAAAACTTATACCAAGTACCTGAGTTCCGGTTGACACATCTTTCCGACCGTTTCTCACATTTTCCACCAGGGAGTACTTATGAGTAGTCCGGATGGGTTCGAAAACTACTACTAAACTAAACTACTACTACCATACTTTGATCTCATTATAAACCAGGTAGATGTCAAGTCTATTTGATGCTTATTTTTATCGTCTGCTTCGATTGAAAATCCTCGTGAAAATTATTGCTCTGTGTTTCTATAAAGTAGCGACTGATGGGAGCCGGGGAGAAGAAGCGGGGGGGGGGGAGATGAGTTGAAGGAACGAGAGCATAGATTTTTTATCAAAGCGTATTTAGGAACCGAGAATAAGTTACGGAAATAGGCTGCGAAATTTTGAAAGTAATCTAAATGAGTTAGTGAATTGTGGATTATGTGGTAAAGTGCAATAATCTACAATTCCTTTTGGTGATTTGAATTTAAGGAGAATTTTCCCTCATCCACAGTTTGGAGCGGATGAAAGCACGAGAAAACTGCGAAACTTGTAAAAACTTTCTCGTCTGATTCTCGAAAACATAATTTTTCTGTAAAATGGGTATATGGTTCCCTTATCTTGTTCTACTAGATTTGGATTCTTTTATTATTAATTCACTGCACAGTAGCATGAATTTACAGCTACAAGCACCACTACATCATACTACAAGATAGGATAAATGTGAATAAGATTTAGGATGAATGTGTTATTAGGCGTCATCCTCATTTAATACCACACAGAGTAGAAAGGATAATACAGACGGCTGTAGCTGGGGTATACATAATATGAATACGTTCTGTAGCGGGGGTATCCATACAAAAATTGTCTCTTCTGGCGGACGTAGTTGCTGAAATAGAATTCTTAGCTAGTAAAGTTGCTAAATTGGGTATATTGAATCTTAATATTTGTCGATGTATGGGATAGTGGCTGGTTTTGAAAGAAAGCCCGATAAAAGTATTTTTACCTGACGTCTGATTCCGCTTCCGCGGCATCTATAGGTACTGGCTCTGCCATGGTGAAGCACATGATTGCGAGCATCAGAGCGAAGAGGGTAAGCATCCAGGCACGCATTATTGCTTATAGCCTTGAACAATAGCTCTCAGTGACCAAATAACTCGAAATGATTGAAGGCAGTGTCTCGGCAGAATTTCGTTTTTCAGTTTTTCACCTTTTCGAAGCTTTCTCTCCATTAGAAATCCATAGCTAATCTATAATTCATTAGCTCATTTTCGCCTTTCTGAAGCTTTCCAGGTCCACATTTGGTGAAGATATACCGGAAGTCTTTCGCGCACTGCCCTCCCCCATTCCGGATCCCGCCCACTTACACGTACTCTCCACTGCTTGCGGTCCTGGAAAGCTTTGGAAGCTTATTTTCGTAATTCTTAAGCGCTGGAAATCAGAAATGAAATTCACTGTCTCTGAGGATTCGAAAGTGAAAAATGATCAGGAGATCTTGTCTCAGCTATTGCCCAAACGGCAGCTCATATCGTTCATGAGCCAGCAATACAACCCGAGCCCCAGCCCAAATCGTACTTTCTACCGTAGTCGATGACGGTGATTGGTTCGCTAAGAGACAGCCTTAAGCTGAGGCTACTTCGAATTTTGGCAGTTTCATGACTTCATTTTAATGCAAGTAATGCATGCTTCTTAATAGGCTTGCCTCAAAAACATCCTTGCTATTTTAGGTTTATGATACGGCACAGTTTTTCTACGGTAGAGGGAAAGTACTATTGATTTTTATCAGAAATGTGGACAAGTCTGTAGCTGATGAGGAAGATCACAACAGTTGAATTCTGAATCGTTGAAACGATGCATGCACCCCGCCAAGCGCACCTGCTTATATACCAACATCAGTTTTGATTTTATAAAGCGAATATTTGTAGAAAAGAACACACGCAAGTGTACTTAATAATTCAAGTGGTCAACAACAGACGAGTCTGGAATATGGAAGAAAATATTTTTTGAGCTTAAATTTTTTTGGTATGACAAAAACAGAACTATGGTGAGTTTTGAGTGTCTCAGCTGTGTTTACTTTCGCAATTCAGTTGAGGAAGTTCATGGAAGAAACATTTGAACATTTGAACATTTGCTTTGATAGAATTGTAATGTAAAAGTTGGAGAGACTCCAGCAAATGGATTCCTCAGTATAATCTTCAAAAAATCGATTACGTGAGGCCAAAACTGCATTATCTAACGGTTCTTCATTGAAAAAATGTTTGGCAGCAAGTTTTCTCTTAGTCGAGGCATTTAGCATAATCTTCCCTCTAGCCTAGAAAAATTCGCTAACAATTCAGCAGCTGGTCCTCAAAAATCTACGCAGGTAGTCTACGATTCTTACGATTCTTGCAAAATTCATTTTTGGGTCTTAAAATATAAAAAATAATGAATACATGTCCTTAAGGGAGTGAAGTGAAGTGTTCGACCGCTGATAAGTCCCTTTCTCAAAAATTTTTGCCTACCGTCAGGTACCGTCTTATAGAGCTGCCTTCAGCTTTGATTTACAGCATAAAGCGGATCACAAATCATTCTTCGTTACTGTGGGATTAAGGTAGGGTATTTTGACCTTCAGCGTCATTGTGAATTAGTCGCATTTCATAAAAGTTCTCAAAAATTCTGGAAAATTGTGTATAAGGACTTTTACACGGGCTGATTTCATTAATCAACTTTGTTGAAGTGTACGCTTTTTAAATTGTGTGATTACAATTTAGGGGCTTTGCAAAGATATCTATTGCAATTTACCTGAATATATGTTATGACAGAAGCAAAACGTTAAAATCGAAACTTCATAATTGGTTCAAGTGACTCTAATTGGACTAGTGAAAGACTTAACAAGTTGTTGTTTTGCATTTGGCAAAATGAAGCCGTCAGTGGCTCAAAACCCTTCTTAGAGTTCCTACCGTAATCTTACAGCAATGAAGAATGGTCCGTTATTCGCTCCATTCTTTGAATCTAAGTTGCTCTACAAAGCCAGCTTTACAAAATGGTACCTGGAGATATGCAAAACATTTCCGGAGAAGAGAGATATTAGCGATCAAGAAGTATGTAGTACTTCGGAAAATTTAACAACACAAGCCGATGTAAGAGACTAGCAACTGATACATAACATATAAATAATATGTTTCAGTATTCGAACTGATTTTTGTTTTCCTAAACACAGCCAAACGTACAAATGGAAATTTTCACGGTGTTGATTTGCTTAACCGACTTTTCAAGCAGTTCTTATGGGCATAAAGTCAAGTTTGTTATAAGCATAAAGTAGTAAGGAAGCTATCCCGATGATTGCGACTGCACTCAAAAAAACGGCGAAAATGATGAAGATAGAGTAACGCATTTGTAAGCCGTCATTCATTTTGATAATGTTGAAAGAATCGCAAAAGTCTTGTAAAGTCTTACAGTCTTATAAAGTGTTCAGATGAAATTAGACTAAGATTCTGGAGTAATTTGTATAGTCATAGCCCACTCAGTTCTGCTCATAAAACACGTTGATATTCGGTGATTTCTTCAAGAGTTCTGGTCGTAGGACAGGACATTAGGACATTTTTGGGGTTACTGCTTGCGGATACGATGAGATAACCAATGCAAAATTAAGCATATTCTTGATTTTCTTTTTCCTCATTGTATTGATATGTAGATTTTGATATTTATTTATTGCACAAAAAGTGGCCATCTACTGGTCAAAAAGTCCAGACAATGGTCGTCAGCAAAAAAAGGAACTCAGATAAAACAATCGTTCAAAAAATTTTTCTCAGTCTTAATACTATCAGATTAATATGAAATGAAGTGAATTACAGCATCCGAATTTGACCACTATATTACCTGTTCACAACATTCAATTCTTTCAAATGTATGCACTGTTCTACTCTCATTCTGTCGTTATGCACGAATGCGTCGTATTCTGTCGCAACATATTTTAAGATGGCACAGTTTTGACATAGCCGAAATCTTGATATAAGGTAAATTTTGCGGCTTGTAACCTTTCGACATAGAGTGAGAAACGAAATTCCGCTCGAAAATTCAAAATCGGTTGAACTTTATCTTTAAGATTATTTCGTTCTCCTGAGCTTTTTCGCTATTTTAATCAGCTACGAACTACCAGTAAACCACCTTGCTCTTGTGCGGGATGCAAATCTTGAGAGCTCAAAAGCAGTGTTTCGGTAAAATTTTGTTTTCCCGGTTTTCACCTTTTCGGAGCCTTCTCGCCATAAGGAATCTATATATGAGCTTCAGAGCGCACGAATATGGCAGAAATGAACTTTTTCCGAAGCATTCTTGATCCGCATTCAGGAGAGAATACGTGCAAGTGGGCGGAGTTTGGAACGAGGGAGGAGGGACGCGAAAGATTTTCGGCATTCTTCACTAAATGCGGACCTGGAAAGCTTCGGAAAAAGCTAATTTTCGCCATTTTTATGCGCTGAATAGCCCAGATATGGGCTCCCTTTGGTGAAAAGGTGAAAATTGGAGAAATTTCGCCGAGATGCTGCCTTTAACTGAGAACACAAGCAAACCTTACTTCACCCAGAAGTAAGTATGTCGAGAATTAAACCATGAGGTTTTTTGAAAACAACTATGGGACAAAGGATATCTTTAGGAGAAAAGTGACAAAACTTTTTTTAGCCATTTTGAGTTTGATTAATGATTGGATGTGGTTCTGCAATACATTTCATACATTTCTAACAGGATCATATCTTTAATCGACTGAAATCAATGTTCTGCATGTTGGCTCAGCAATGATTTGTAACTTGCTGCCAAAACTTGCGAAGCAATCCATCGTCACGTCAGCCCGTTTTGGACACTTGTTCTGGTCGACCATTTGTAAAGGTCGTAGAGTTTGTAACCAGTTTTAGCATACGGTTATCGAAAGGTCGAATTAATCATCCAAGGTAAGTTAATAATTACATAGAGTTTTTTTGCTGAATTTTGAGTCAGGAGTAGGTATATAATGATGCGAAGTCCAAGTATCTTTGCCGACTATTTCAGATAGCATCCAGTAGGTTGATGTATAATTCTTGTACCAAAATTTTTGAAATTTTGTTAATTCACCCACCTTTAATAAATCTTCTGATTTGGTACATAGTAAAGAGAGCAAATTTTGCATTTTCTGAAGGATTCAAATTTATTTTTGGTCTGTTTTATAATATGTTCTTTTTAACTAAGAGAAGCTGGTAGTGATTGGAGGTCTCTGCGATAGTTATGAACTTCATTTATTTTCTAAAATCTTATATATAAAGCTGAATGTCTGTTTGTATGTATGTATGTATGTCTGTCTGTCTGTCTGTATGTCTGTCTGTCTGTACGTATGTTCCGAATAGAAAATTCCATTACTGAACCGATCCGGACCAAACTTGGCACACATACACTACGGGCCCCGGCGGGTGTCATAGGCTACTTTTCGTCATCGATCCATATCAATTTTATCGATTTTTTGCAAAATTTGAGCTACGGGGCTGGGATTTGGCACAGGGGGTAATCGAGCATGCTGATTACGAATACAATATTAGTTTTCGAAACCGTGCATTACTTTTATCGATTTTATCGATTTTTTTGCAAAGTTTGAGCTAGGGGGCTGGAATTTGGCAGAGGGGTGTAATCGAGCATGCTGATCACCCCCTAGCTCAAACTTTGCAAAAAAATCGATAAAATCAATAAAAGTAATGCACGGTTTCGAAAACTAATATTGTATTCGTAATCAGCATGCTCGATTACCCCTGTGCCAAATCCCAGCCCCCTAGCTCAAATTTTGCAAAAAAATCGATAAAATCGACATCAATCGATAACGAAAAGTGGACTGTGACACCCGCCGGGGCCCGAAGTGTATGTGTGCCAAGTTTGATTTGGATCGGTTAAGAAATGGAATTTTCTATTCGGAACATACGGCGGAGCCGGGTATGCCAGCTAGTGTACTATAATTTGATTTACATGATATATGCATAACAAAGAGCATTTCAGGTGAGCTGACTTGTTTGTTCAAACATTTTTGAATTATCTTTTTTATTCATTTTTTGCTGCATGATTTGTACATCAATCTAATATTTCCAGAATGTAACAAGTCTAATGATGCGTGAATTTTCCACATGCACAGCCAGATTCTAAATCAACAAGTCCGCAAAATAAAAACTTTGTCACTTTTCTCTCATCACAATCGTATCCACAAAATCTCTCTGAAGGAATTTCCTCAATTGAGCAGCCTCTAGCATTTTTTACTGATCTAGCATTCTTATGTATTATAATAAGTTTGAAAATTGATTTTACACTAAACAACACTTGATTCAAGGCGTGAAAGAGATAGTAACATTGGCTAGAATATGAATATCTTGGGTTACATCAAACAAAAAAATTGGCTAAAATTAGTTTAGAAAATTTTTAAAAAGTTTTGAAATTAGTTTAGCATCATTTCGTACATTCAGTAAAGGAACAAACATTGTCAAACATATTTTTGGAATTTTGAGAAATAACAAGATGCAAGAAAGCCATACCGAAATTATTCTTTTCTTGCATTGTTGTAACATCAATCCTCGCAATTCTGACCACTATCACATTGTGGCACATCGTGGGCATTAACCTTTGATTCAACTAATTTGGCGGTTGAAAGGCGGAACTTTGTGACCTAATTAAGGTTGCGCCCGTGACGCAGTCTGCGCCTCTCCCGCGCGCGTGCTTTCTGATCATCACCCTAACCTTAATTAGGTCACGAAGCCTTGCCTTCCAGCCGCCGAGCCAGTTAAATCAAGGGTACCACAGAAATACTCGCTTCTTCCTTTTCGATCTCTTGAAGAAATTATTTGTAGATGAGTAAAAAGAATTTCAAAGATTTGGAAAGATGATTATTTCAGCTTGCTGCAATTCAGAATGAGTTCGTGGTTGATTACCGCATTATGTGTATTGTGTCTCTCAGTAACATGCTCCAGCATCCCGCTGAAAATACTAGAGAATCAACAATGGCCAGAGCACAACGCAGTAGATATACCCCGAAACACGAAGAAACCTATGTGAGTAATATGTTTTTTTTTCTTCAAAAAATTGCACCAGCAACTTTCGAGGCAGGAGGGCTATTTATACATCAATAACTTCGAAATTTTCAGTTACAACATTCGTCGGAAAAGACATCACTGGGGAGGATGGGGAGGTTGGGGTTATCATTATCCTTTTGGACACTCATGGTTTGGCTACCCTTCATTCCCTTGGTTTTGGCATGAGTGATAAAGTACAGTGTCTCATGATGTTGTAAATGTATTATCTTTTTTTTCAACATTATTATGTCGTTGTAATGCATTGATGTGCTTAAATGAAGCTCTGTATAAAAGTTATGGTAGTGATCATAATTACGCACGCAAAAATAGATCAACTTTACACCGCATTAATTTTTTAACATAAAGTACCTAAGCTATGTGAACATGTATAAAAAACCTCTTGCTCTCACACAAGTGAAGAAACTGCACTAAAATATCGGAAATTTTACGTACGCTTAAAATTATCAGTTGCAACCCACTGGTCGAAGAAGGCATTTCATGTAGCCAGTTTAGCTTTCCTATCAAAGGCAGCGTTCAGGCAAGAATTCAGATAGATTTTTTTCGCTTACATAGGCTTATCCTTCAAGCTGATTCTAAAAATGCAGCTCGGAGAGCACGGAAACGTCGAAAAAGTTCTTTTCCAGAAGCTGCAAATTGGTGCATTGCCAGTTGGACAAAAGCCTACCAGGACGGGCCCCCCTGTACTTCAAATCTTCGTTTTTGCCCGGACGATGTCTTTAATTTTAGTGTTCCGCAAAAGCAGATAATTTTTGTTAAAGGACGATAGAGTCCTCAAAAAGATAAAAGCAATAATAAGAAGCGGCTATAGTAATAAATTGGTTGGTTGCATTGAAAGGCACTAAACGCCACTTGCCAAAATCACAGGTCGTTGACCGAATCAACGAAGGTCTGCCTATTTTGCATGTGATTCTGCGGATTTTCCGAAGCAAAATCTTAGTTGTGAAGACCGTTCATCTAATCTAGAGGAAAAAGCGTTTCTACTTATTATAAGAAGGTGCCTTGAAACCGATGGTCCACACGGAACAGATATGGCTCTTGAAAGAGTGAGTTGCATCGCAACGAGGTTTTTGTTTGTTCTCTGCACATGAGCTTCTTATTCATTAGGCCGTTAAATAAGTTTCGCAACTTTTTTCTAGCTTTTCTCTCTTTTAGCATGACGCACTCAAAAATATTTATGCAAGCCCTGACAATGCTTCAAGTGCAGCTGCTACCTTCTGTTGAATTCTGACGTCGTAGTGAGGGTTCGGTAGATATACGTATACAAAATAGTGGGGAACTTTGGAGAGAGTAAGGTTTGCCTTTCGTTTTAAATCATGATATATCTATCGAATCATCAAACCTAGAATTTACGGAATCTCAATTTATTATATTGCTTGATTTACCAGGTGAAAGACGAAGCAAGGCGCACTCTCTGCGGCGAAAGTTCAGAACCTTGCCCAAAATCATTTTTACAGCTTTTTTGCTCATTTTGGGAAAGCCAGTGGCATAAGTAATCAAAAGAACACAAAATTTTGAAAAACACTTTCAAAATGGTCCTTACGCCGTTGCGACAGAATTTGCTAGGGCCTCCCAAACTGTAAAGGAGTTCGAGGTTTTAGGTTTCGGCCAGATGCCTAGCTAAAAACCGGCCAGGCCTGGTTCCCGTCATCTCGTTTTTTCGGTCCCGAGACGATTCCCCCTCTCCACATTCGGATTAGCGATCGCTTCGTGGAGATCAAGAGTAGGCCTAGTAAGTACAATCTTCTAGGTGAAACCTTATATTACACCGTCAGCAAGAATAGATACAAAAAACCCTGAACATCGGATCCCGCCTACCGCGCCGGGTGGTAACGATGTCAAAATTCTCAGGGCGCCTTTAGAATAAAAAAACGACTGCCTGAACGACACGCCAGGAGATTGCCTAATGCTCTGCACTTACTACGCCACAGTCTCCACAAATCCGACCTCCCGCTCTCTTCCACGCTTCAAAGCACATCAAGTACCACGTCATCGCTCTGCAGGAAACGAAGTCCAGGAAGAAGGACGTGCGACAGATCAGTGATAGGACCCTCATCATTCGTAATGAGAAAGTCCCATCACGAAAAGTTGGAGGTGTTGGCTATGTCGTCCCTCGTCCATTTTGTCGATCATGAGATCCTATCGTCTCGACTAACCATTCTACGACTACGACCTCTAAGTCAAAAAACGATTAGCAACGTCAACTGTTACACTCCAACAGCGCCTCAGTGACTTCTGAAGAGAACTTGGAACGCATTTGAAGACCACCGAAGAATTCCTCGAAAGAAGAAGATTTTTGAGGCATGATCCGAATGCAACTCATCTTGAGCGACTAGTAACTAACGCCAGTTGCAGAACAGTCTTGCATGAGGATCTCAGAAAATACAGGCAAGCCAAGATACGGGAAGCAGCCATAGAAAGACGAAGTTTTGGAAGTGCCGAAAGGATCTCTGCAAATATCACGTACCGGCTGCACTATTGAATGAAGACGATACTAGTACTTCTTCCCAATATAAGATAGAATCTATCGCAAAGAACTTTCACACCAAGCCAACGCCCGTGGTTCCCACAAGAAAAGTATCATCGAGGATTCTACCTGCTGAAGTGCGTATCACAATACAAGCCGTGAAGACATCTACGGCTCCAGGACCAGATCATCTTTCCGTCGAACTTCTGCGTGCCGGAGGACAACGTTTACACGAGATTCTCGTGCCGCTCTGTAGCTTACCTTCAAAAGGAAAGGATTTCCAACCATTGGAAGACATCAAAATCGTCCTTTTTTGCAAGAAGGGTGAACGAGAGGATCCTCGCAACTACCATCCGATATGCCTGCTGAGTGCGTTGTTCAAGCTTTTCCTTTTCCTCGCTCGCATATTTAGGAGGACACCGGATGAAGCCAACCGCAAGAATAAGCTGGATTTTGCGGTGAATTCAGCTGCTTGGACCACACCCAGATGGTTTCGAGGGTCGTAGAAGTCTGCCGGGAGTACCGACCCCCTCTCGTCCTAACCTTCGTCGCTTACGAGAACTCGTTTGACAGCGTTAAAGCCAACTGTCTACGCTAGTAGATCAAGGTGTGGACCCAGCTTACGTGAGAACGTTAGCCGACTGCTACAAGGACTGTACAAAGATGATGTAGCCGTTCCATCGTTCCTGACCACAATAGGAAGAGAGGGCCCAAAGGCAACACAATCTCGCCGAAGCTGTTCACCGTGACCCTGCAGCGATTGATGAAATCACTGAACTGGGACGAGAGAGACATACGAGTTGATGGGAGATTTCTGTCAAATCTTTGTTTTGCGAAAGACATCGTTTTCTTCTCGAACAATCACTGAAGCAGAGACCATGCTGAAGGAATTAAACGAATTAGGAAAGCCAGATTGCGAACGGAAGAAACTCACTTTATGAAATACGCCCTTTGCGAAGATGCAGAAATGGAATTAGAAACTCCCTATCATGGAGACGTCTTCTTATGCTTATCTCGATGAACATGGGCAACGACTTGGAAGAAGTACTCAATCAACAGAAAGAAGAGCAGCTCGCCTTCTAAAGGAAGCCACCGACCAATTGACGAATCCGTTTTCGTTCCCTCTTCTACAGCCGTTCTCCCGGCCCTCTGTTACGCAGCTGAGACTTGGGCCGACACTGTAGCCACGTCAAAAAACTTTACACCACTCAAAGAGCGGTTCAGCGCAGTCTTCTGAAGATGACCCGACACAAGCAACATCTAGTCGTCTTCGCTGTACGGATATGAGAAGAAGTCTCGTTTTCGTAACCCAGCGGAATACGTTGCGAAAGCGAAACACCGATGGGCCGGTTACATCATGAGAAGAACAGACGACAGATGAACACTAAGAACATCAGAGTGGATTCCTCGCGAAGCAAAAACGTCTTCGAGGAAGACTTCAACGAGAAGGGCAGAGGTGTTCGTGGAACGGATGGACCAGCTGAGAAATTAGCTGACTACGATTCTCGCCTCTGGATCACTTGGACGCAGTCACCAACGACAACCAAGAAGGACGTGGATGTCTGAAGCGAGAAACAGGAATAAATGGAAGCTTTTTTGCTGGGATCCGCACGTCAGCGGGGCTTGAGTAACTAATTTTGTCTTTAAGAGAAGTTTATTCTTTTTTACCTTTAATTGAAGCTCCACCAACTAGTGCCGTACCCCATTCTTTCTGGCATGCATGGAAGCATGAGAAAAGTTTACAAAACTTGTAGAAAGCTTTTGCTTTCTAAGGACTTTTCAAAAGCATTATTTCTTGAAACGATAAAACTCTGCATTACGCTCTCCTTGTCTTGCACCAGTTTTTCAGAACTGCATTGTTTTTTCATTCAATTTATTCACTGCACAGTAGCATGAATCTACAGCTACAAGCATCAACTACATCATACTACAAGCATACGGATAGATGTGAAAAAGTTATATTATATGATAAATGTGTCATATGCGTTATCCTCATTTAATACCACACAAAGTAGGAAGGATAATAGCTGTAGCTGGGATGTGCGTAGTAATATGTATATGTTCTGTAGCTGGGGTATCCATACAGAAATTGTCTCTTCTGGCGGACAATGCTGCTGAAATATAAGTTGTATTAGTTCAAAAAATTGTCGAATTGGATATATTGAATGCTAATAGCTCTGTCGATGTATGGGATTGCGGTTGTTTTTGAAAGAAATTCCGATAAAAATATTTGTTACCTGACGTCTGAGTCCGCTTCTGCCGCATTTACAGGTACTGGCTCTGCCATGGTGAAGCACATGGCTGCTGCGAGCATCAGAACGAAGAGGGTAAGCATCCAAGCACGCATTATTGCCAAACCTTGGCTTCAAAATCTGCGCAAAGGTAGATATAAACTTGTCTATTTTATGCGGAAATTGATTGAGAACTCATAATGAATTTATCGTTCAAACGGCAGCTCATATTATCTGTTCATGGGCCAGCAACACAACTCTGAACCCCAGCCCAGATATTAGGTTGTCCGCAAATTAATGCAGGTTTTGAATTTCAACCGCAATAAGTCATACACTTCTCATTTCTATGTAGGTTGCAAAACATCATTCGATAGATCAAAGCAAGCTCTACATGATGGCTATCTTGTTTTAACAACAGCTCTGATCCACCACTGGTTTCGAGCCAAAAACTAAAAAGATTCAAGTGCCCGAAAAATTGAGAAAAATCGTAATTCAGTTCATAAAAAACCTACAGAAATTCTAACTTGCTCACGTAAAGACAATCCACATAAGGCGTCCATATACGCCGTTGCCGTATTTTTTCCTTTGTTAGAGTTTAAGAAAACGGAAATTTTCGTGCATTTGCCAAAGTGGTGCTGTGCCGCTCCCACATAAGTAGTTGTATACTACAAACCTGTAGAAGTACAAACGTAAATTTGCAGCTCTCTACAAGCTTTAGTTCTCGAGAAATTTGAATTTCAGCTTGAACCAATGACTAAGGAAAATTGTGTTCGACATTTCTCGACAACTTAAGCTTGTAGAGAGCTGCAAATTTACGTTTGTACTTGTACAGGTTCGTAGTTTACAACTACTTATGTGGGGACGGCACAGCACCACTTTGGCAAATGCACGAAAATTTCCGTTTTCTTGATTTTTAACAAAGGAAAAAATACGGCAACGGCGTACATGGGTGTCTTATGTGGATAGTGTTTACGTGAACAAGTTAGAATTTTCCTAGATCTTTTATGAATTGAGTTATGATTTTTCTCGATTTTTCGGGCAGTTGAATAATTTTAGTTTTTGGCTCAAAACTCGAGGTGGATTAGAGCTGTTGCCAAAACAAGATAGCCTTCTTGTAGAGCTTGCTTTGCTCTATCGAATGGTGTTTTGCAGCCTACTTAGAAATGAGAATTGTATGACTTATTGCGGTTGGAATTCAAAACCTGCATTAATTTCCGGACAACCTAATACTTTGTAGCGTAATTGATTCTGCACAATTTGTAGGAGATACTATTGATTTTAATCAAATCTGGTTAAGTATATAGCTATAGCTGATGAAGGAGGTCAACAGACGAATTCTGTACGTTTGCAACGATGCATGCACCCAACCAGGTGCACCTGCTTATATACTAACATCTGTTTTAACCTTATGAAAATAGTATTTATAGGAAAGAACACATGCAAGTGTACATAATAACTCAAGGTCAGCAAAAGACATGCTTAGAACTTGAAAGTCAATATTTTTTAAGCTTGAAGTTGTTTGGTTTAACAAAAAAAGCTATGGTGACTTATGAGTGTCTCATATATGTTTACTTCCGCAATCCAGTTGAGGAAGTTGTTGGAAGAAACATTTAAACATTCGCACATTTGCCTCGGTAGAGATTCCAGCGTAAATGTTGGAGAGGCTCCATATCCAACGGAATTTCTCAGTATAATCTTTAAAAAATCGATAACGTGAAGCCAAAACATTTAGCTAATGGTCCGTCATAAAAAAATGATTGACAGCAACTTTCCCATTATCGAGGTGTTTCAGTAGTGACCTCAAGGTTTTGCGCAGGTACCATGTGCGATTCTCCTTCGTGCAAAGCTAGTTTTTGAATCCTAACCAAAATGTCCCAAAATCGTGTTTGTTGTTTTTGATCGTCGACATGTCTCTTTGCAGAAAAGTCTTTTGCTTACCCTTAGGTACCATCGTACAGAGCTGGCTTGTTTAGGTTTACAGCATGGAGCGGATCACCGATCATTCTTCTGGCTTTCAGCGTCATTGTGGATTAGTCGCATTTTAGAAAAGCTCTAAAAAATCCTATAAATGGTGTGTAAAAGATAGTATGCGTGCTGATCTCATTACTTATCTCTGTTGGAGTTTGTAAAGCTTTTTGCTTTGAAAGATAGCTATTGCGTTTACCTGACTTAAGTTATGACGGAAGCAATGCGATGAAATGCAAATTTACATACTTGGTTTTAGCGGCTTTGAATAGCTTAGTGTAAGAGTTATCAGGCTGTTTGCTTTGCATTTTGACGCAAAATGAAGCCTCAATGCTCAAAACCGTTTTTGAAGTTCCTATTATAATCCTACAATAATGAAGAAAGATTGATGATTTGCTCCGTACTGTAAGTTCTACAAAGTGGTACTAAATATTCAAAAGAATTCTAGGAAACAGAGACATTAGAGACCGAACAGTATGTATAGGGTAGCTAAAGAGTATGGGCGTCGCATATGTGTTTGCAGAACATCTCTCAGAAAACAAGGTTTGGTAAAATTATGTTTTCCATGTCAGAACTGGAGACGTCCTGTTGTGTTACTCCTACAAAACTAGACTTTTGCACACGCATGCAGAGTTCAACTGCTTATCTTGAAACTGATACGTCAACAAATGCTATTTGAAGGATGTGCCCGTCGCATTGCGACGGGCACATCCTTCAAATAGCATTTGTTGACGTATCAGTTTCAAGATAAGCAGTTGAACTCTGCATGCGTGTGCAAATAAAACATGATTTTTGAAAGACATTGTTTGAGGAATACGATAGTGCCGTGAAAGCAACAGTTTCTCATTTGCAAATTGAAATATGTACAATGCTATAAACGGTGCGACTAACCGCACCCCGGAGCCTTTCAAGTGGATACATATTTCGGAGTCCCGTTTGCGTATGAAAGCTTCAGTGCGCGCTTCCACATATGTATAGAGGAGCTATAGGCGTATCAGCCCTTATGATAGAACAATTCAGGAAAAAATATATTGCATGTTGTAACGCCCATATACAGGGTGTCCCAAAAAAAATGTTTCGAACGTTTGATCGTTAATATCTCTCTTCCCAAGAAGTCTTTTGCCTTGCTTCAGGTACCGTTTTGTAGAGCTGGCTTCAACTTAGATTTCCATTATAGAACGAATCACCCATCTCTCTTCATTACTGTAGGATTACGGTAGAAACTTGAAACATATGGTGTCAATGTGGAAAAAGCTGCCGTTTCAAAATTTTTCAAAAAATTGTGATAACTTGTGTAATAGGGTTTTTATAGACGCTGAGTTCAATACTCAACTATTCACAAGAGTACGAAGCTTTCTAAACGGTGTAATCGCACTTTTTAGGAACATTGAAAAAAAAGGCCGCTACCTCTCACCTGGCATAACTCTTCAATGAAGCATCATAATAAGTTGGGAACTTTTCAGTTATAATCAGCAAATCTAATTAGCCTGGTGTAAAAGTTTTCAGGCTGTTCTGTTTCCTTTCTGAGGCAAAATATGGCCTTTCATGGTTCAAAACCCTCTTTGAAGTTTCTACCGTAACTCTACAGTAATGAAGAGAGATGGGTGATTCATTCTATAACGGAAATCTAAGTTGAAGCCAGCTCTACAAAACGATACCTGAAGCAAGGCAAAAGACTTTTTGGGAAGAGAGATATTAACGATCAAACGTTAACTTCGAAACTTTTTGGGACACCCTGTATTTATCGGCTACCTTTACATACTTTTGGGACTCCCTATATTATAGCGATAGTAACAACGCTTGCGGCAACTTTTGAAATCGTTTTTTTGCCAAAGGTAACATCACAATCCGGCATGAAGTCTTGCAAATGACATAAATATTAGGTTGGCACGAAAGTTCTTGCGTAATTCAAAGAAAATTCAATAACTTTTTAAGGAGCAGACCTAAATTGATGGTTCGGTGTCTCAAAAATAAAGGAAAGTTCAAGCTCTATAATAGATGTTTAAGCTTGACATTCTATGAGTTAACCCCCGAGAACGAAGCTTTCAAAAATGACGATTCAAATTTGGCGATTTTGAGTTTGATGCTAGAAAATCAAGAAGGGTCGCTAGCTAGTCTGAAAAAAAAACCAAAAAAATTCTCTACTTACCATGCGCCCATACACCACTTTGGCAAGCTTCAATCTCGTACAGAAATGTAAAAACAAAAAATTCTTGAAAAATGTCACTTTACAGGATAAGTCCCTTATTACAGCACCTTTTCCTGCAAAAACACTGTTTTACGCTTCAGAAAACTTCATTGTGTTCTAAATAAACACTATGTCTGATTTCTGGTTTTAAACCGTGTTTCTGTGAAAAAACCACAGCGATAAGGAGACTTTTCCTGTAAAGTGACATTTTTCAAGAATTTTTTGTTTTTACATTTCTGTATGAGATTGACGACTGCCAAAGCGGTGTATGGGCGTATGGTAAGTAGAGAATTTTTACAGATTTTTTTAGATCAGCTAGCCACCCTCCTTGATTTTCCAGCAACAAACTCAAAATTGCCAAATTTGAATCGTCATTTTTGAAAGCTTCGTTCTCGAGGGTTAACTCATAGAATGTCAAGCTGAAACATCTATTATAGAGCTTAAACTTTCCTTTATTTTTGAGACACGGAACCATCAATTTAGGTCTGCTCCTTGGAAAGTTATTGAATTTTCTTTGAATTACGCAAGAACTTTCGTGCCAACCTAATATTATGTATCGCTTTGTTTACGGTTTTTGTTTTGTAAACACACGCAAACGTACAAATGAAAATCTTTGCGGTGTTGAGTTGCTCAACTAATTTTCCAAGCAGTTTTTATGGGCACAAAGTTAAAGGCAGTGGCTCGGCAGAATGACAACTTTGGGATATTCATCGTTCTCGGTTTTCCTGGGGGCGGACCGCGTATCCGCCCTCTAGAGCGCGATTGGCTCTAGAGGGTACGGTGGGTATCTTCGCTCACGACAATTGCGCTCTATAGGGCAGATGTGCGGTTCCAAATAGCGGTTTTCACGTTTGCAAAAGCGGGTTATTGATATTTTTTGAAGCTGCAAAGCACAATTTCGGACTTAGCTCATCCAGAAGACCGAGAACGATGAATATCCCAAGTTGTCATTCTGCCGAGCCGCTGCCTTCAAGTTTGTTATAGGAATAAAGGCTATCTTGATGAACGCGATTTCGCTCAAAAACGGTGAAAATGATAAATTCAAATAAAGTAGTGCATTTTGTAAGCCGTCATTCATTTTCATAGAGTTGAAAAATTCGCCTAAATTTTAGTAAAACAGGGTCCAGATGAAAAGAATCTAAAGTAATTTTGCAGTTAGTTTTTTTGATAGTTCATTCACTACTTTTAATGAAAGCGGTTGATATTCGGTGATTTCTTTGGAAATCCTGGCCGTATGGGCATTTTTTGGGGTCGTTCTGTCGTAACAAATTTCGAAGGCGTAGGCTTGAACAATTCAGCCGAGGCTCCCGAGGTAGATTTCGCGGGTTGTAACCTTTCAACAAAAAGTGGGAAAGTAAAAAAAAGTAAAGTAGAAATCTGCTTAAAAGTTCAAAATCGACTGAACGTTATTTTTCAGTTTAGTTCGTCTGTTTTGAGTTTCCTTCACGCTATTTTAATGAGCTACCAACTACCACTTTTTTATCATACATCTCTTCTGCAGCCTTTGAGAGCTTAAAGGCAGTGTCTTCAGGCAATTTCATTTCATTTTTTCACTTTTCGGAGCATCTTAGCCATGTGGAACCATATCTGGGCTTTTTAGCGCAGGAGAATGCCGAAAATGAGCTCTTTTTGAAGCTTTCTAGGTCCGCATTCAGTGAAAATATGCCAAAAAGCTTTCGCGCCCCGCATCCTTCCTTCCAGACATCGCCCATTCACACGTGTTCCACTAATTGCGGACCTGGAAATCTTGGAAAAACGCTTATTTTGCCATTTACCTACGCTGAAAAGCCCAGATATGGATTCCTTGTGGCAAAAAGCTCCGAAAGGGAAAATCTGAAAAACGAAATTTTGCCGAGACACTGCCTTCGAGTGAGAGCACATGCAAACCTTACTTCATCAGAAGTAAGTATGTTAAACCACGAAAATTTCTGAAAAATACGAGGTAAAGGACATTTTCACGAGAAAAGTGGCAAAAATTTCTCTAAGCTAATTTGAGCTTAATTAATCAATAGATCTGATTTTGTAAATTCCTAAGAAGATCATATTTTTAATCGACTCAATTCAATGTTCGGCCTATTAGATCATCACTCAATGGTAACTTGCCGCCAAAACTTGTGAATCAGCCCATCGTCATCGCCAACCCGTTTTGAACACTTGTTCTGGTCAACCATTTGTAAAAGTCGTAGTAGCTCGTAACCAGTTTTAGCATATTGTCGAAAGGTTGAATTAATCATCCAAGGAACGCTGACAGTTAAACGAAGTTTTTTGGTGGATTTTTGAGTCACAGGGAGTAGGTATATATGCGATGCAAGGTCTGAGCATCTTTGCCGACTGTTTCAGCTAGAATCTAATTCTACAATACAGCAAGTTTAGTGATTCAGTTATTCACATGCACAGCCAGATTTCGAAATCAAAAATCCCTAAAATGATCTTGCTCTAAAATGTCATTTTCCTTAACACAATCTTATCCATAGTGTTTCCTTAAAAGAATGTCCTCATTTGCGACGAAATTGAACCTTGGCATGGATGTACGGTGTCGAAAGCTGATGTGTAACCTTTTATTTGGCAGTATTTTTTTAACTGGCGTAGCAATATGTACTACATTTAATTTGATAATAGATTTCTCACTGAACAATACTTGATTCAAGTCGTAAAAGAAATATAAACATTATCTTGAATATAAATATTAGCTCTTCCCAAAAATTCTTGCGCACGATTTTCAAAAATTCATAACTTCTGATTTTCCCAAACAATTTGACTGCTTTTATTTTTGTGTGGTAGGTGACGCGCTTCATTATACCAGTGCGGTGCCTATAAAAACTCTCCTTCTTTTCTTTTTTCAAAGTTTACAATGCTGTTTCACTTTCAGGAACTGACAAGGGAGGTCGAATCAGTCGAAGTGGCCTTTTCAAATGGGTCATATACTATTCTGAAAAGCGTTAAACGCTGAATCCGAATCTGTCTTCGTTATCTGCCGAGCGCTTCTGGACGCCGAGTTGTAAGCGTACTTTGAGTTGAAGAGTTGAAAGCGTGATTAGAGCAAAATTCGTCAGAATTGACAAATGATCCAATGTTGGTTATCAGAGCACTCCATTTCAAAGGATAATTCCTGTCCAAAACACTCATACCACATGTTACTCTATTTAAACGCTGAAAAGTACGTAATGGTTAATTTTACTTGAATTCTGCATTCATTTTTCGCTTCAAAAAACATTTATAACTCGGCTCCAAAGGCGCTCGGCAGATAACGAAGACAGATTCGGAATCAGCGTTCAACGCTCTTCAAAATAGTATGTGACCCATTTGGAAAGGCCACTACGACTGATCCGCCCTCCCTTGTGAGAATAGAGCAGATTTGGTCCATAATGTGTGCAATCACACAGCTGTCCACAATTTGCTATATTCCATATGCGAAGTGCTTTGGATGTATATAATATTAGGTTGTCCAGAGAGTTTGTTTGCACCATTTTCAAAAATTCATAACTTCTAATTTTTCCAATCGATTTGACTGCTTTTATTTTTGAATGAAAGAGTTGGTGATGCTCTTTATAAAGTCATCTTAGTCGCTAACTAAAGATCATCAGTTGCATAGATAGGAGCGATAGAAGAAAATTGTCAAAATTTAAATTTTCTGTGTAGGATCATAAAAAATTGGAAAATTGCAACAAAAATCGGAGAAGTCGGTATTTTGGGTTTCTTCACCAGCACTTTCTAACAGTGCAAAGTTTGCGCCAATTGAGCGTCTTTATGAAGAGTTATGATTTTCGAGCAAGCAATAGAAAAGGGCGAATTTGATTTATTTTGGCATTTTTCTCAAAAATCGTAACTTTTCATAAAGACACTCAATCGGCGCAAGCTTTGCACTGTTAGAAAGAGCTGGTGAAAGGACCCACAGTACCAACTGCTCCAATTTTTGTTGCAAGTTTCCGATTTTTTGTGACCCTACACAGAAAATTCAAATTTTGACCAAATTTTTTTCTATCGCTCCTATCTGTGCAACAGATGACCATTAGTAAACAGCTAAGATGTATTTGAAAAGAGCTTACTTCTTCATACAAAGATAAAAGCAGTCAAGTCGATCAGAAAAATTGAAAGTTATAAATTTTTAAAAATTGTGCGCAAAAACTTTCGGGACGACCTAATATTTTAAATAACAGCAACATGACTTGAGATTATAATAAAAAAACAGGTTTTGAATTAAAACTGGAGAGGTTTTTACAAAAAATTTTGTTAGTTTTGGCACCACTTCGTACATTCAGCAAAGAGAGAAATATCATCAAACAAATTTTTGGGATAATGGGGAAGTCTAGATGCGAAAAGGCCATACTAAATTTATTCTTTCCTCAGATGCATTGTTGTTAAGTCTTCGCATTTATTCTGATTACAATCATATTGTGGCACATCATAGGCAGTAACCTTTGATTCAACTGGCTTGGCGGCTGGAAGGGCAGAACTTTATGACCTGATAAAGGCCTCTCGCTCCAGCGATGCAGTCTGCGTTTCTTCACGCGCGCGTGCTCTTTGATCACTATCCTAGCCTCAATTACTCACAAAGCCCCGCCTTCCAGCCGCCAAGACAAGTAAATCAAGGGGTACCTTGGACTTACTTACTCGCTTCTTCCTTTTCGATCTTTCAAAGAAATTAATTCTAACTGAGTAAAAAGATTCCCAAAGATTAATCTCGAAAGATGATTATTATAGCTCGTTGCAATTCAGAATGAATTCGTGGTTAATTACTGCATTCTGTGTATTGTGTCTCTCGATGACATGCTACTGCATCCCGCTAAAAATACCAGAGAATCAACCGTGGCTGAAGCACAACGCAGTAAATACACCGCGAAACATGAAGAAGCCTATGTGAGTATTACGTTTTTTCCCTTCCAAAATTGCAGCAGCAAGTTTCTGTTCTCAGCGATTTATACATCAAACTGCGCTCGATTGATTTTAAATTTTACAGTCATAACATTCGTCGGAAAAGACATCACTGGGGAGGATGGGGTGGTTGGGGATATCATTATCCTTTCGGACACTCATGGTTTGGCTACCCTTCATTTCCTTGGTTTTGGCATGAGTGATAACGTACAGTGTCTCATGATGTCATAAACGTACTGACATTTTATTTTACATTACAATGTCATTGTAATACAATGATGTGCGTAAATAAAGCTGCATAAAAGTTGTAGTAATGACCACCATTGCACACGCCAGAATAGATTAAGGCCTAAAGCATACCTCCAGCGATCTATTCATTACGGTTTCCGATCGCTACGACTAGACTGCCTGGGAGACTGTGCACTGCGGGAAAACTGCTCATCGCTTAATTCCTGGATATACTTAAAGAGATTTTGTAGACGCTCACACACGACGCATTATACGCAGTTTTAGAAAACTTGCGCTAATTTCTCTGAAGTGCAATTATTCCAGAGAATTCGGACAGAATGTGGCGCCATATGCTTTAAGAAACATTACCATAAGAAACATTACATCAAACAAGAAAAGACAAGGATATTCACACATACACATCCCAGTACTTTCCAACGTTTTTCTACTGGCGCAAGTTGAGTAGTTTGCGACGAAATCGACAAGTTCATAAAGTTTTGAGTTCTCTTTCAGTCATTGGTAGGCATATACGTTATCTTTGTAGTAGAATCATGCTTTCATCTTTGCAAAAAAATAGTAGGCTATTTCAACAACGAGGCTGCTCGAGCTCTTTCCGACAATCTGCGGACGATTATACATATGTGCCTGAGCAACCAACAATGCACATCAATTATGACCCAGAGATTATAGCAAGAAAATTTGAGATTCGGTCACCATTTGTAATTAGAAAAACAGGAACAGAAGAAGACTAGTGCATTGCGAGAACAGTAGATGGTAACACAGAGGGTGAGGTGACATATGAGCATTCCAAACTATATGCTTCGCATGTGTGTTTTCTGTGTTTTCAGATTGATAGCATGGAATGTTCGATGACAATCCTTCTCTTATGCAGAGAGGAAGCGTTTGTATGAGATGGAAGAGTACTAAATGAGATTTGTACTAGCGGCCCTACGGGCCGCTGTAAGTGGGTCGGGGCAGATACATTAGTATTTGCTTAGTTGGGACTGCATCTAACTATAAACGGTGTTCACATCTCCTCTCTGGAGAAGCTAAATAAATCAAAAATCAAACTTTGCAGGTAGACACAAAAAAATACCTGATCTTTCCCTCCAAATGCCACCACCAGATTTCACTTACTTGATACGCTTGCTTCTTTCGTTGCTCACTTAAAATCAACATAATCGCTTTCCTAAAATGCTGACCAATGCAGATGGGGGGTGGTGCAGGAGGAACCAAAGGGCTGCCGCCTGTATCCGCGGGAGATAATTAAGAGTGCGAGTGCTATGGAGAATATTTTGGCAAGATTCCAAGATAACTTGGTAAGGACATCCTCTAGGAACAAATCTTCATAAGTTTGCCTGGAGATGACTTTGAAAAATTTGAAAGACAGATTTATAACGCAAATTGGAAGGCGCATTCACTGGGCCTAAAAGTAAATGAAAATTTGGAATTGTAGTGGTAACAAAAGTCAACTACCTTAAAAAAACTTTTTGTTTTATATTTTGAAGTTTCAAGTTGTTGAAGTCCGGGTTTTCATTCAAAATTTATTCTTTCTTCTTCGAGATAAAGAATTACTTTGTCTTTTGATTCAATGAAAAGCAATTAAAATGTCATAAGAACACATCTGGAGGTTGTCAAGATGCAATATACACTTTGTCTCATAACTTCAAACCTATTCTAATTCCAAATTTTGACATTAGAGACTTCGTAGGATTTACCATTGAAACTATGTCGGTAATCTTTTAGGTCGTACACATTAGCAAAAGATCATCACATGCAACTTAGTTAACATTATTTCCTTATTACCATTTCATACTTTCAACTTCGTATCCAGAGATTTCACCAAAATTCAGTTGGAATTTTCAAGCAACATTGAGCTTGAAATTTCAACTTAGAATGGTGAATTTTGAAGGCACAGTTTTTGGTAAAAATCGTTGCGAGACAGAGTTGTATAACTATCCGGTAAGCGTATTATTGAAAAATGCGCATTTCAATACTGATTCCAAATCTGTCCTTCGTATCCTTGAAACTTGATTCCAAGGAGAGTTATAAGGGTTTGTTTTTAAAGGATGTCCTCGCCAAGTTTTCCTGGATCCTTGCCAAAATCTTCTCCCCAGCGCTCGCCCTCCTAATTATCTCCTACGGCTATAGGCGGCAGGCCTTTGGTTCCTCCTGCACCGCATCCATGCAGATGCATAGTGGGTCTTTCCTCCGGGAGCAAAGGAAGGCTGGTGTTTTTGATTTCGACAGAATTTCTGCGGTTGAAGTTCTGTCGAAATCGAGGTTTTTGTGGAACTTGTGAGAAAACAAAAATTTTCGCTCTAAAAACAGGTCAGCCACAAAAGGGCTTGCCGGAGCTCAACCAGCGAGACCACAGCTTCCATGCTGGTCTTCACTCGGGAGCAAAGGCATTTTCTGGCTGAATTTTGTCGAAATCGAGGTTTTTACCGTCTTTGGTGGATGTGGGAAAAACAAAAATTTTCGCTCTAAAAATAGGTCAGCCACAGAGAAAGAACGTGCCAAAAACCCACTTTTTGCTGTTCAATTGCTCTTCGGATTGGGATTTTCGTCAACATTTCACAAAATGTTGAGCTGTGATGACTATTCTATGAAGAATTACAATGCTCAGATTTCCTACCAAACTGTTATGCAAAATGGGAGAGGGGGGGGGCAAGGGAGTCTTTAGAATGAAGAAGGAATGTAGCTAAGGACGTGAAAAGAAGTGGAACTGTGTATGTAAGCAGTAGGTATGCTACAGCTGTGAGGGCCGTGATCAAACCGATTATACGGTATTTCATCACAATTCGTCATCGCAAGCAAAGTCAAAACACCTGCCGTCATCGCATGCCTATAGGGTGCGATCAATTGACAAATGTCGAGACAACTCTCTCCTCTCTAGCTTGCCTGCGGATGAGAGTACACCATTTCTCTAGAATTCTCATCGTCCTTAACCTCTGCGAGAGAGCGTGATTTCTCGCGTGCTCACACTGTCAACAACTCTCCCTCCGCAACGCTGAAGGTGGGCGCCAGGGTGGAAGAACAATGTATGGTTTTCGTCGCCTCGCCGGATGTTTCCAGTTTATATATAAGAAAAATTGTCTAGAATTCTCATCGTCCTCAAAGGCAGTGTCTCACCAAAATTTAGTTGCCGAGATTTTTGCATTTTGCAAGCCTGTCGGACAGTGTCTAGCACTGTATGGGTTCAAAATCGCACGTCGTTCCCAAAAACCCCGTTTTCTGGAGGCCCCGCAGAAGCAACGTGGACGAGTTGTACATTCCAACTTCAGCCTCAGCCACAGTGGCAGCAACAGAGCGGGTGGATGGCCAAGTGGAGGGACATGTTCAAACGCGTAAGGGGGGAGACCGAAGGAGTCGTCCGCGCGTACTAATTCGCTCTTCGCGTACCACTTTGAGCGAATTTTTCTCACCGTGGAAGGGGTCAAATTGAGTGGGACTTGTTGCAATGGCCTATTTGGGGGTCCCTATGATAGACTATGAGAAGATCCGCGCGACCTTAACTTTGGTGAGACACTGCCTTTAACCTCTGCGAGAGAGCGTGATTTCTCGCGTGCTCACACTGTCAACAACTCTCTCTCCGCAACGCTGAAGGGGGGCGTCAGGGTGGAAGAACAATGTAAGGTTTTCGTCGTCTCGATAGATGTTTCCAGTTTATATATAAGAAAGATATCGAAAAAACAGTTCATGCCCTAAGTGCCGCTTGAAGACCGTTTAAAAATTACAAGAATGCCCCAAGCTTTTGAAAATCTGTTTCCCTGCACGATCGAGTTGGCCTACGTACCGCTTACAGACCGATAGTAACTATTTAAAAACAAGAATGCCCCAAGCTTATGAAAATCTGTTTCCCTGCACGATCGAGTTGGCCTACGTACCGCTTACAGCCGATAGTAACTATTTAAAATGAAAGTTTATGCCCTAAGTGCCGCTTGAAGAACGTTTAAAAATTATAAGAACTGCCCCAAGCTTATAAAAATCTGTTTCCCTGCACAATCGAGTTGCTAACTATTTAAAATGAAAGTTTATGCCCTAAGTGCCGCTTGAAGACCGTTCAAAGATTATAAGAACTGCCCCAAGCTATAAAGATCTGTTTCCCTGCACGATCGAGTTGCTAACTATTTAAAATGAAAATTTATGCCCTAAGTGCCGCTTGAAGACCGTTTGAAAGTTATAAGAACTGCCCCAAGCGTATAAAATCTGTTTCCCTGCACGATCGAGTTGCCCTACGTGCCGCTTACAAACCAATAATATCTATATCTAGAAGACAGTTCATGCCCTAAGTGCCGCTTGAAGACCGTTTAAAAATTACAAGAATGCCCCAAGCGTATGAAAATCTGTTTCCCTGCACGATCGAGTCGCTAACTATTTGAAGTGAAGGTTTATGCCCTAAGTGCCGCTTGAAGACCGTTCAAAGATTATAAGAACTGCCCCAAGCGTATAGAAATCTGTTTCCCTGCACGATCGAGTCGCTAACTATTTAAAATGAAAATTTATGCCCTAAGTGCCGCTTGAAGACCGTTTAAAAGTTATAAGAACTGCCCCAAGCGTATAGAAATCTGTTTCCCTGCACGATCGAGTTGCCCTACGTGCCGCTTACAAACCAATAATATCTATATCTAGAAGACAGTTCATGCCCTAAGTGCCGCTTGAAGACCGTTTAAAAATTACAAGAATGCCCCAAGCGTATGAAAATCTGTTTCCCTGCACGATCGAGTCGCTAACTGTTTAAAGTGAAGGTTTATGCCCTAAGTGCCGCTTGAAGACCGTTCAAAGATTATAAACACTGCCCCAAGCGTATAAAAATCTGTTTCCCTGCACAATCGAGTTGCTAACTATTTAAAATGAAAGTTTATGCCCTAAGTGCCGCTTGAAGACCGTTCAAAAATTATAAGAACTGCCCCAAGCGTATGAAAATCTGTTTCCCTGCACGATCGAGTCGCTAACTGTTTAAAGTGAAGGTTTATGCCCTAAGTGCCGCTTGAAGACCGTTCAAAGATTATAAACACTGCCCCAAGCGTATAAAAAT